TCAATGACAACATACGGTGGGGGAGTCGAATTCTGCAGTTTAAGTACAGGACAGTTACTAAAAATAATCACTAGCCCATCAGAAAAATACAACAGAACCCAGAGTTGTTGCAACAGATTATCTAAAATTTCCAATTTTCAACCAGATGTTACGAGACATGCAAAAAAGCATCAGGGAAGTGTGACCCATGCTCACATGGGAAAAAAATAATCAATAGAAATGAATTCTGAGTGGATCAGCTATTAGATTTAGCAAAGACTTCAATGTAGCTGTTTAAAGTATGCTTAAAAACTTAAAGGAATCTATGTTCAAAGATTTGAAGGAAAATGAGATAAAAATTAACGAATAGTGGCTCTAACCACTTCTATTCAACATTGTACTGGAGGTTCTAGCTGTTGTGATAGTGCAAGAAAAAGAAGTTAAAGTAATACAGATTGGAAATAATCAAATCTTCCTTTATTCATAGATATAATCATGTATTTAGAAAATTCCAAGAAATGTATATGAAAGCTACTGTAGCTATTAAGTGAATTTAGCAAGGTTGCAGGATATAGGGTCAGATTTACCAAAATCAGTTGTGTTTATATATTCGCAATGAATAATTGGGGATTAAAGCTTTAAAAAATGTATTACGAAGTCCAAAACCACAAAATATTTATGGATAAATTTAACAAAATATGTGCAAGAGCTATATACTGAAGACTATAAAACATTGCTGAGAGATAAACTAACTAAATAAATGGAGAAAACCATTGTAATGGGCTGAATAGTGTGTGCCCCCCTCCCCAAATCAAGTCCACCTGGAACCTCAGTATGTATGACCTTTCTTGGGAATAGGATCTTTGCAGATGTATTTGGTTAAGGATCTTGAGATGAAATCATCCTGTATTTAGGGCAGGCCCTAAGTCCAGTGATTGTTCTTTTCACAAGAGGAAGGAGAGGGAGAATTGGAGCCACAGAGTCATAAGAAAAAAAGCCATGTGAAGATAGAGAAAGAGATTGGAGTTATGTTGCCATGAGCCAAAGAATGCTGAGATCTTTGGGAGCTTGAAGAAACACAGATTCTCTCCAAAAGACTTCAGAGAAAATATGGCTCTACCAGTGCCTTGATTTTGTCACTTCTGGCCTCTGGAACTGTGAGAGAATAGATTTTTGTTGCTTAAATCCACCAAATAGGTGGAAAATTTCTAGGCAGCCCTAGGAAACTAATACAGCCGTGTTCATGGATTGGGACATAAAATTATCAAAATGATTTTGAAAATAAGTAAAAAGTTGGAAGACTTAAACTATCTAACTTTAAGACTTATTTTAAAGCTGCAGTAATCAAAGCAGTGGTATTGGTGTAAGAATAGACTAAATCAGTGAAACAGAATAGAGTCCAGAGAAAGACAAACACAAATATGGTTAATTGATGTGTCAAGGCAATTCAATGAGGGAAAGGATAATCTTTTCAATAAATGGTGCTGGAACAATTGGATAGTGATATGGGAAAACATGAACCTTGATCTTTACCTCACAAAATACAGAAAAATTAGCTGAAGATGGATTGTAGACCTGAATTTAAGAGCTAAAACTATAAACCTTGTAGAAGAAAACACAGGAGAACATTTTTATGATCTTGTCAATAAATAAATGTCACGAAAATCATGACCATAAAAGAAAAAATTGGTAACTTGGAACTCATCAAAATTACAAACTTGTACAGTTTAAAAGACACCATTAAAAAAATGAAAAGGCAGGCTACAGACTGGGAAAACATATTTGCAAATCAAATATCTAACAAAGGACTTGTTTCTAGAATATATAAAGAGCTTTTGTAATTCAATTAGAAAACTAATAATGAAGTAAAGGATTTCAACATATAGTCTACCAAATAAGTTATACAAGTTTCCAATAAGTACATAAAAAATGCAAATTAAAAAAGACTTCCCACAACAAATTCTGGCAAAGTTAGAGAACATCTGGAATGCTCACACTCGTGGTGGGGCTATATAATAGCACAACAACTTTGGAAAATTGGCAGTTTTTTGAAAAGTTAAAGGTGTATCTTTCATATGACTAAACATTCTAGTCGTAGATATTTAACCAAGAGAAATGAAAGGATATTTCATACAAGGACTTGTAGAGGAATATTTATAGCAGCTCAGTTTATATAGCCCAAAACTGGAATAAACTCAAATGTCCATTTGGTGAATGAATAAACAAATTGTGGTATATTCATACAAAAGAATGCTACTCAGCAATCATAAGGAAAGAACTATTGGTACACACAGCACATGAATGAATAGCTAAATAATTTTGCTAAATGAAAGAAGCCATACCAAAAAAAAGTACATACTATGTGATTCCACTTACATAAAATTCTAGAAAATGCAAACTAATCTATAGTGACAGGAAACAGAGCAGGTTGCTTGGGGATGGGGGCGGGGAGGAGAAGGGATTGCAAAGGAGCATGAGAAATCTTTGGATGTGATGGATATGTTCATTATTTTGATTGTGGTCATGGTTTCACAGGTGAACACATATGTCAAAATTTATCAAATTGTACACTTTAAATATGTTCAATTTATTGTATGTCAGTTATACCTTAATAAAGTTGTTTAAAATAGAAATTTGAATAAACTTCAAAGAAAATATATGACTGGCCAAAAAACAGGTGAGAAGGTGTTCAGCCTCATTAGTCATCAGGAAAATGCAAATTAAATCACAGTGTGATTCCATTAGAATGACAAAAAAATTGAAAAGACCAAGAATACTGAGTATTGGTGAAATTATGGGACAACTGGAACTCTCATAACTTACTGGTATAGCCATTTTGGACAGTAGTTCACCATTTCTTTCAAAGTTAAACATACACTTAATGTTACAAGCCATAAATATTTCTAAGTATTTACTCAAGCTAGACTAAAATGAATCTTTGCAGAAACATTTTTATTCTAACATTTATTACAGCTTTATTTGTAAAATCTAAGAACTGAAAACAACTTCAATCTCCATCAGTAGATGAATGGGTAAATAAATGTTGGTATAGCTCTATAATGGTATTACTCAGTAATAAAAAAGGAGTGAACTACTGATACCCACAGTATCATGGATCAACCTTAAAAATGTTATGTTGAGTAAACGTATCCAGAAACAAAAAAAGTTTGCATCTGATTCTTTTTATATGAAATACTAGAAAGCCCACACTAACTAATGGTGAAGAAACAAATCAGTGATTCTCTGAGCCTGGGGATGGAGGCAGGAATTTACTGCAGAGGGGCATAAATTAACTTTGGTTTCTTTTTTTTTTAAAGTATTGTTGACATACAACATTATGTTAGTTTCAAGTGTGTTACATAATGATTTAACATTTGCATACTTTGTGAAATGGTCACCACAGTTAAGTCGAGTAACCATCTGTTCCCACACAAAGTTATTATAGTATCATTAATATTTCTTATGGTGTATATTATATTCCTGTGGCTTGTTTATTTTATAACTGGAGGTTTGTACCTCTTGATCTCCTTCACCTATTTCATTGCCTCCCCTCTGGCACCCATCTGTTTGTTCTTTGTATCTGTAAGTCCATTTTCATTTTGTTCTATTTGTTTTGTTTTTTAGACTTCACATATAAATGAGATCACACAGTATTTACCTTCTCTGTCTGACTTATTTCACTTAGCATAACATCATCCAAGTCCATCCACATTATTGCAAATTGCAAATCTCATTTTTAATGGCTGAGTAGTATTTCATTGTATATATATGTACACCACTTCTTCATTCATTCATCTATCAGTGGATACTTAGGTTGCTTTTATATCTTGGCTATTATAAATAATGATGCAGTGAACATTGGTGTGCATATATCTTTCCAAATTAGTGTTTTTTTAACATTTTTTTACTGATTTATAATCATTTTACAATGTTGTGTCAAATTCCAATGTAGAGTACAATTTTTCAGTTATACATGAACATATATATATTCATTGTCACATTTTTTTCTCTGTGAGCTACCATAAGATCTTATATATATTTCCCTGTGCTATACAGTATAATCTTGTTTATCTATTCTACAATTTTGAAATCCTTGTCTATCTCTTTTAATTTTCTTTGGGTAAATACCCAGAAGTGAAATTGCTGGATCTTATTGGCAGTTCTATTCTCAACTTTTTGAGGAGCCTCCATACTGTTTTTCATAGTGGCTGCACCAATTTGATCTCATCAGCAGTATACGAGGATTCTTTTTTCTCCACATCTACCAACACCTGCTATTTGTTGTGTTTTTGATGATAACCACCTCACAACTGTCAGAATGGCTATCTCATTGTGGTTTGATTTGCATTTCCCTGATGATTAGTGATGTTTAGCATCTTTTCATATGTCTGTTGGCCATCTGTATGTCTTTTTTGGAAAAAATGTCTATTCAGGTCCTCTGCACATTTTTTAATTGGGTTTTATTTTGATGTTGAGTTATATGAGTTGTTTGTATATTTTGGATGTTAACCCCTTATCAGATGTATCATTTGCAAATATCTTCTCCCATTCAGTAGGCTGCCTTTTCGTTTTGGTTGATGGTTTCCTTTACTCTGCAAAAGCTTTTTAGTTTGATGTGGTCCCATTTGTTTAATTTTGCTTTTTTTTCCCTTGCCTGAGGAGATCCAAAAAAATCAATATTGATTTTATGCTAAAACCAATATCAGATAGCTGACTGCCTTTGTTTTCAAGGAGTTTTATGACTTCAGGTCTTACATTTAAGTCTTTAATCCATTTTGAGTTTGAAAAAGCATACATAGTATGATTATTACTGTCTTGTTTTAAGCATAGAAAAAAAATACAGGAAGATTTATATCAACATTTTAACACCAGTTGGGATGGTAAGATTAGTTTCTGTAATATTTTTGACAGTTTTGCATTTTTCAAAAAAACATTTAACATGTAATTATTTCATGAGATATAACCTAAAAAATTGGCTGTATAATTTTTGCCTATTCAAATGAATTTTTGCATTTCTTTAGGTCCAAAAAGCAGTTAAAATTTCTAATCCCTTAACCACAAACCTGACTGCGAAGATTCCTGGTTGGTCGAAGAATGTATCAGTCCAGTCTGAGAAGTCAGAGGACTCTGGTACTATGCCTACCATTCAGCAAGTAAAAAACCCTGGGGAAATCCAGATTTCTTCCCCTCTACTGGTGACTCCCTCCTACAGTTATGCTACCTCTGCCCCCCAGACCTCTTTCCCAAGCACCTCAGCACCAGGTGAGGCCCTTTGCTTCTGCCCTTGGAGATAGGATGGGAAAATAGATCCTTTGATCAAAGTGTTAACCTTTTAGTGGAAGGAAAGAAGGGAGGCATGACTTTTGAATACTGTAGGTTAAAGGAAGAAAAATAATCCTGTTGGTGTCCCTGTAATCATAGGATTGGGACTCTCCTTTTCAGTAAGCTCAAGCCTATGGGAATTTATGAGGCTCCTTTTCTCAGAGCCAGTTTGCACTGTGCCTGGGATTTAAAGGCACAAGTTTCAATTAAATAATGTTCCAGGAACCAAACAAACAGAGGCCACTGGGAGGAAAGGGTTGGATCTGTACATCTATTTGCCTTCTGAATGGCTGGTTGTAGGTCAGATATTTGTCTCTTTGATTTTGATAGCATCTTTATTTTTAAAGCAACTCACAGGAAGATTTATAGAGCATTGCCTTAACAGCTAGTCTATGCTTCATAAGTTCCATTCTAAGGTATTGGGAGGAAATGGTTAATCAAGGAAACTGTTGATCTTTATCTCCTGAAAAAGTCAGCAGGGTGAAGCAAGGCCAGTGAAAATAAATTTTTGCTGACTTTTAATTTCCTAAGGTCTACTTTGGTGGTAATACAACATGAAATTTTAGGGTTTCATCCCTGAAGCACTAAAGTAATTTTTGTATTCAGGCAGAATGCTTGCAAGTGTTGATGTAATTATGAAAAGTTTGGGCTGTGCTATATATTTGACCATTATACTTCTGAAGTGGGGAGTTTCTTTCTTTTCTTTTCTTTGAAAGTTACTTCAGATAATTCTTATTCCACCTCCCAGGGTGTGTAATGCTGAAGCTTTCATAATGGATGGTTTCATTTCTCCCCGAGTTCAGTGTTCCCAAGCAGACAGATAAATCTTAAATTTCATATTTGTCAGGAAGCCCTTTTCACCTCCCAGTCTTGAAATGTGGGTGAACACACCAGTTGTTTGCTTTAAGCTCTCTGATTCCTAGGTCTCATACCAAATGAACAATTATTGTTAGAGAAATAAGATTTATATAATTGGTGGTTCTCAATAGCCTGTAAACATTTTTGGTGTTAACAGCTGTGGAGGAGGAGGAGAGGGTATATATAGTGGGTAGAGTCTAGGGGTACTGCTAAACATCTTACAAGGCTTAGGACGCACCCCCTAACCACCGCCTGCTCCTAGGCATACAACAAAGAATTATCTGGTCCAGAATGTCAATAGTACCAAAGTTGAGAAATCCTGACATGTATGGAATACCTGGTAAATAGCATAAAGACAGTATCTAGCTGATGTGAGTGTTCCAAAATGTTACAGTAGTTCAGGAAGTAGATCAGTTTGAACTGAGAAAGGTATAGGAAGATTTCCTGGAGAGAAGACTGGCTTTTAAGCTAGAAACAAAGTACTGTGTTTAGAATAAAGTAAGCACACACTCCAGTTGAAGGGCACAGCTTTAGCAAGGTTCTCAAGAGTAGACTATGGCTTCTGTGGAGCACAAGAGGGAAAATGAATATATCTAGAGACGGTATTGGGTAGGAATGGTGAAATGATGTGATCAGATGATGATGGATCTCTAGAGCCAGGTTAGGAGTTTAGCCTTAAACATGGCATGGGAGTGGAGGTCTTAGGGTAGGAGAGTAACCTGGTAGGTGAGTATTTTAGAAACACTCTGTGATAGATGTTTTAGGAAGACAGATTGGATTACAATGGGGAGAGCTAGCAGAAGGAAGACCAGTTAAGATTTGTGGAATTTATCTAAGTCTGTGGTTGTAGCAATTTAAATGGAAAGAAAATTAAGGCTGTAGACATTTGTCTTTTCTTCTAGGAACTTTTTATATTTTATTAGAAAGTTATATATGAGCATAAAGTTGATCCTTGAAACAGAACTGACCTCTTGTTTATCGAATTCTGTGAAAAGTACTATATAAAGAGAACTTAGAGACAGATCATAGTTAACTCACAGTGGAGAAAAACTCAGAGAAATAGGAAGAAAGTAGAACAATATGATGCCATGATAACCAAGAGTTTTAAGATGGAGAGAGTCAGTAGTATTAGATGCCACAGAGGTGAAGGATGAGAGTTGAGAAACAACTATTAGATTTGTTAACAAGTTTGTTGATGATCTCAAAAGATCCTTTTCAGTCCAAAAGTGGGGATAAGAGTCAAATTTCAGGGGATTACAGAGTGGGTAAATAATAAGGAAAGGAAGGCAATAGCTGAATATTGTTTATAGAAGAAATTTGGCCACAAAAGGAGGGAAAGAAATGAGATAGTCTAGATCTCATTACTTATTTCATATCTTTTCTTTGTTTCCAGTTATAAAGGAACTGGTGGTATCTGCTGGAGAGAGTGTTCAGATGACGCTTCCTAAGAATGAAGTTCAGTTAAATGCGTTTGTTCTCCAAGAACCACGTGAAGGTAAAACATCCTCTTACATTTGGATAATGTTTTGATTTATAATGATACCTACATACCTTAGCCCATTTACTCCTTTAAGAGTAGGGTATAGCTTGCGTATGCACAGATGTGCTATAAGAGGCAATACAGTATGATCTTTGAAATCATAGGCTTTGATGTCAAGTCTGGGTTCAAATTCTAGCTCAACCAGTCATTAGCTGAATGATTTTAAGCAAATTATTTAACTTCTCTAAGTCTCCATTTCTTTCTCCGTAATATAAGGATAGTAATTCCTACTTCATCAGGCTACTTTAAGGGCAAAATGAAATGGCACTATTTCAGTGCCTAGAACATAGCTAATATTCATGAATCCCTATTTTATTTATTTCCTCCCTGATCTTTATTATTTCTTTCCTTCTGCTGACTTTGGGTTTTGTTTGTTCTTCTTTTTCTAATTCTTTTAGATGGTAGGTTAGGTTGTTTATTTGAGATTGTTCTTATTTTTTGAGGAAGGCCTGATTGCTATGAACTTCCTTCTTAGGACTGTTTTTGTTGCATCCCATAGATTTTGTGTGGTTGTGTATTCATTGTCATTTGTCTCAAGGTATTTTTAAATTTCTTTTTTGATTTCATTGTTGATTGATGCTCATTAAATGGAGATTGTATTATACGCATTTAAAAGAGGAAGAAACTGAAACTCGGGTTACCCTGTTTATTTTGGCCAGACAACTAGTAAATAGCAGATATAGAGCTTATAGAGAAGTTATTAAGACTACTGCAAATACAGATTTGTCACTTAAAAAAAAAGATAAGCCCAATGTGATATACAAAAATCAGATTTATAAGATATATAAATTGGGGGATGATTAGTTTATTATTTAAGGAAACTTGGGTAATATGAGCATCCCTTTCACCTTTGACGTATATGTTAATTTACCAAACTTTGACGTATGAACACAAATTCTCTTTAAGACTATCTGTGACATGGAGTGAAGCATACTTTGGTGGAAATGATTGCACTGGGTTTATATTACTCTCATTGTAAGGTTAGTCAAGTAGCTCATTATAAGGTTAGTTAAGTAGATGCCACAGTCTATTCAGGCTGAGGTCCTTCCATTTTAGGTACACATTTCCAATACAATATCCCTACATTTGGGGCCTAATACCAAATAGGTATATTTATGCAAAATGTACTTTTCTAGATGCCCTTTCTGTTTTGTATTGCTGTCCTCAAATTGAGTTTTCCTTATCAGTTCATTCTGCCTTCCTCTAGAGAAACTTTTTCCTTTCCTATTCTGGTGGTAAGTTATGGTAAATGGATTTGGTGGTTTTTGAAGATGCAGGTGAGGAAAGAACTGTCTTTAGCTGCAGTTGCTTCCACTCTGGTGAAAGATATCCTGGCTCGCATGTATTTTCTTTTATAACTCCTATTTGCATATACATTTCTGTAAGTTAATACCACCTCGTGTATCAGTATTCCAAAACACATCGGTTCAGAAACAGATTCTTTCAACTCTCCTCTCCCCAGGTTCTTCAGCCTTTATCAGATGCATGAGGTGGATGGTTTCAAACTTTCAAAGGTTGGGGACGATGAGGCAGGACGAGCTCTTCCTGTTTTTCATCCCCCTCATCTCCTATGGCAGCCCCTGAAGCACCTCTCAGGGTCCCTCTAGGGTTCAGAGGCATGGTTTGAAAACCACTGCCCTGAATCATTAAAACCAGCATTCTGTCTAACAGACCTATACTCAGTTGTTCTTGCCCTTGGGCAGATTTCTGTCTGCAAGGTATAATTCATTCCCTGAGCTTTTCTGTCCTAGGAATATTGTCATTTTTTGAAATTTGGGTTGCTAGTCTTAGATGTTATAAAATTGTCAGTTCTCAGACTATCTGAGTCTGTTTTTTGTGTGGAAAAAAAGATTCCAAGTACAGTTCAAGAAGTGTCATCTCTTAGCACCAGTCCTACTTCTGCTTCTTTCCTGCTCCTCACCTAACTTCTACGTATACATTTATGAGAGCTGCCTGGGGCTGACAGTGGCCAAAACAAAGCTAGTATTTTGTGAAGAAAGGAAGAGTAATAGATCTTTATCTCAGGCTTATAAAATAAAATCTGGCCTTAAGATGAAGGCTGTTTGGGATTAAGTTCTATGTGTTAACTTTAACTTTCGAACTCATGAAATAAGAAAAGGACCATTCTCTGTAAGTATTTTTCCTTTTATTTTTCCCTTTTTGGGTAGGAACTTAAACTAAACCTTCCTACCAAATCCCACCCTTTCATAGCCAGAAATGCATTTTGTTCCAAAAAAAATTTAAGACCACTTCAACTGAGGTGGGGGTGGGGTGGGGGGATATTCCATTTAGATAACAGGATTCTGTCCTCACCCTACCCAGTCATGTAGTCTGAGCTACAAATGAGGACCATTTAATGCTTCATTTGATCTTAATTAATTTCAGTGGGGCCTGTTTTAAATGGGCCATCCCCTACCATCTTCTGCAGTGTGTTATTTAGCTCAGCAGGAATGAAGTAGCTCTTTTAACTCACCAGGGTGTGATGACCTCAGTGAGACGAGCATTGTTAGCACTCTGTAAAACGCTATTTTTGAACCATGTTATTTAGAAGTCATTGCTGTTCTTTTTGCAAAAGAAGTTTTGTGAGAAAATGGCCTTTGTTCCCAACGAGTTCACCCATAGTGGTTGGTAGGGCATGTGTTTTCACTGGGATGCTATACCATGAGCAACCCGGTATTTTGGGGGAGGACTAGCCCAAAGCAAGGTGGGTATGAGGCAGGAGTGAGCATTGCTGGAAGAGTGGAAGAAGCCTAACCATAGCTGAGTCAGCAGAATCCACCCTTTCTTTGAACAGAATGTTGAGCTTTCTTTTAGGCTTTGGGGTGGAATCTTGGAAACTAAGGCTTTGTCAAGATTTAGAAGAGGTTTGGTATTGGCAGGCTGTGTGATGTCCTCTTGGTATGTAGGTGTGTATTTTCATGATTTTTGTAACTGCCCTTGTATAGGAGAAACCTACACCTACAACTGGCAGCTGATTACTCATCCTAAAGACTACAGTGGAGAAATGGAAGGGAAACATTCCCAGATCCTCAAACTGTCCAAGGTGAATTTGCCTCCTGTCACTTGCAGGGTTGGGGTGAAGGTATTGACCATTTTCTAAAATGTATAGTATAGAATTTTCTGTCCACATTTAAGTTAGGAATAATCTTTCAGAAGTGAATCCTCCAGAAGTCTCGCTGGCTGACATCCAGTATTTGTTAGTGTATGATTCTCAAATTTTCAGTTTTGGTGAGAATACTGTATAAGCATAGTGGTGATAGCTGAAAATATACACTAAACAGCTTTTAAGGGTAACATAAGGATTTTAGAATTTGGGAGATAAGCTAGGTTATTTGTGGCCACATGATTGTGTAAATTGGCTCAGTCTTTTTTGGGATTCAGTGTAGTTATTAAGAGCCATAAAAATGTTCATATTCTTTGGCCAAGCAATCTCATTCGTTTATTCATTCAATCATTCAACAACTGTTCAGTGTACACTATGTGGCAGGTATTGGGGAATTTACCAGTGAATTAATCATAATCTTAACATTCAAGGACAATAGAGTCTAGTAGGCGATTCTGACTAGAAGCAGGTAATTATAACAGGGATATATTAGGTCATTGCAGAGGGTATTGCAACCCTGGGGAGTTAGAGTAGCTTTCTTAGAGTTGACCTAATTAGGTCATGAAAGGTGACTAACTGGGTACAGGATGGAGTGATAATATCCCAAGAAGAGGAAGCAGTATGGCTGCTAGGCCAAATAGTAGAGAGAAAATGTGGGAAAAGGAAATTATATGTGGTTCATCTGACTAGACCTGTGGTATGAGAGGAGCAGTGGCACAAGTAAGTTGGAGAGATGCAATGGCCTTATTGCACAGAGCCTTGTGTGCCAGAGTAAGGACTTTGAATCTTATCCAAAGGGAATATGGAACCTTTGGGAGGTTTTAAGTAGGGGAATGACATGTTCATATTTTCAGTTTAGAAAAATCACCCTGACTGTAGATTGGAGGAGAAAAGACTCAAAACCAAGGAGGCCAGTGAGGAATCTGTTGAAAAATGTAGTTTTGAGATGATAATAATCTGAGTTTAAAAAGCTAAACAAATAAAATTTAAAAACCACCTGTTGAGCTTATACCATGCACCAGATAGATTGCTAATTATTTTATGCAGTTATTTCATTTAATCTTCCTAACAGTCTCAAGATAGAAATATTAATATCTGTCTTACAAATGACAAAACTAAAAATTAGAAAAATAAAATGATTTGGAAAAAAAAATGATTTGGCCAAAGTGTACAGTGCTATTAAATGGTAGATTTGAACTGGAACTTTCCATCTCTAAAGCCCATGCTCTTAACAACTGTGCTGTGAGTGGTTAAAAACTAAGGCGATGGTAGTCTGAATGGAAAGAAGTGAGTGGATTTGAGAAACATGGAGACAACTTGATAAGTCTTGGTGATCAATTAATTGGGTGGGGGTGTTGGGGAAGAGAAGTCTAGGATAATTCTAGCTTTTTGGCTTAGACATCTGAGTGAATGTTGGTACGTTTGTAGTGATATTCACTGAAATGAGGAGTGTAGAAAAAAGAGCAGGTTTGGGGAAGGTTTACAGATGATTAATTCATTTGGAGACAGAGCGAGTTTGAGGTCCCTGTGAAACACTGAGTGGAGGTGACCAATAAATAGCTCAGGGTAAGGGGCTAGACATGAGGATACAAGTCTGGGCTAGAAAGATAAATTTTCATATGGACCTTAAATCAATGACAACTCAAGCCATGGTAATAGATGAAATCATCGAAAGAGAGTGTGTAGAGTGAAAAGTAAATGCATGCAGTTTGAATCCTGGGGAACGCTTTCATTAAAAGGTATGGAAGGAAGAGGAAATAGAAGATGAGGAGTAGGCAGAGATGTGAAAGCCAAGGAAGGAGAGCATTGCATGTGGTCAGTTAGCGTTTACCCAAAGAAGACAATCCAAAAGAAAGGAAAAAAATCATTTTACCTGAAAGATGTTCATCATAGCATTAGGTAAAATAGTAAAAATTTGGGACTAACCCAAATTCCTAACAGTATGAAATGCTTATGTGAATTATGGCACATTTCTTCATATACCATTCTGCAGCCATTAAAATAACTATTAAAAAGATTGTTCTAATGGGGAAAGTGTTCATGCTAAATGAATGGAAGAAAGAACAATAAAAGTTTGATATACATCATGATTTTAGCTAGGCCTTGTGTTGAGTGTTTTTGTTTTTGGGGGGGAGTTAGTTTTGTTTGTTTGTTTGTTTATTTATTTATTTATGGCGATACTGGGGATTGAACACAGGACCTTGTGCATGCTAAGCACGCTTTCTGCCACTGAGCTCTACCCTGCTTTCTAGCTAGGCCTTCAGTACTACTGAAATATGAGCTCCTTGAAGGTAGGGAATCTTACCTTACTCATCTCCAGACCCCAAGCCTAGGACAATGACCAGTATGTAATTGGTTCTGAATAAATATTTGTTGGACAAATGAACTGTTTCTAGCTGTTTTTTGTATATGGTCAAAGATTGGAAGGAAATTTAAAAAACAAAATGAATACTTGTGTTAGGAGCAGTGGGATTGTGGGTGATGTTTTTTCTTTTATATTATGTTCATACAGTTAGTGAAAATCAGGAGGGGAAAATATTCAGATATTTGGGAGCTATTTGGTGTTTTTACAGAATGTTTTTCTTTGCAGAGATGATTGTTTTAATTTCATAACTGAAGTAGGATGGTTGGGCCTTTAATATTCTTCTGAAAAGAAAATGGGAGTACAGAGATATTGAAATCCCTTCTGTTGTTCTAGAGTCAGCTAGTAATAAGATTCACATGAAAAGAGATGGGTTTTTAGTTTATAATTTATTGTTTCATCTCTTCAGCTAGTTTCCTTTCTCCATTTTGGAAATGGTACAAGAGGAGAGTGCAAGAATCAGCACTGGAAAGTTCAGACATGTGTTATTTTTAAGTATAATTACTGCTCTTTGTGGTTGTCTAAAAGATCTTCTCTCACCTCTGCAGCTCACTCCAGGCCTGTATGAATTCAAAGTGATTGTAGATGGTCAGAATACCCACGGGGAAGGCTATGTGAATGTGACAGTAAAACCAGGTATGTTTCCCAACCTTGGTCAAGTCTCCATTGCTCCCTCTGCTGGATTCCCAAGGGGATGGAGATTTGACTTTAGGGTTTTTAAATTTCCATTTTTTTTGTAATATATTTATGTATTGGGCAATTCTTAGTCTAATGTAGTAAAGGGTTAGGATGGCAAAGTATATATAGTTTGATTCTAGTTGGAACACCTGGCTGGGCATGGAAACATTAGTCACATGGCCCACAGTGCAGTATGGCCTATCTACTTGAGAATTTCTTCTCCAAGTGGGTCATGCTGAGAGAGGATCATGTGCTGTAATTAAGAGACATAAAAGCCAGGAGCCTGGGAGAAGCATGTAGAAAAAGAACCAGGCCAATGGCTGGCTCTGTCTGATCTCTTTCCAGAAATGTGGGCCTTTGCACACAGAATTCTTTGTTTAAACCCTGCCAGTCCTCTTCTGTCTTGGAAAACAAATCGCATCCTTATTTTTAAGTGATCCTCTGTTGATAGATTACAGTGTATTAGCAAGATACCTTGTTTTGCATTTTCAGAGAAATTTAGGGGAAGTTGGAAAATAGCACATACATTGGCACAAATTCTTAATACTATTTTCTGTCTTTGTTGGTAATAGATTTTCTTTTCATTCCTGGAACTACAAGTCCTTTCACCTTCTTAAAAATGTGCTTAGCATCAGGACCATTTGATTATTTCTCAAAAGGCCACTGGGTTTGTAGCTCACAGTCATTCAAGTGGGCCGGAGTGTTTTGTGACCTTCCCATCATTCAGCCCTAGTCACCTCACGCACAGATCAGGGATGGTTAAGAAATCACTCATTATCTTTTCAGCACAGTCTGTGCCAAGTGCCAAGGGACAGTTTGCTTGCCAAGGCCTTTATTGCACAAAACTTGTTTGTCATCCACCTCTACTCAGCTTGCCTGAAGGCAGTCACTTGCTGCCATAGTACTTCTCCTGTGCTAGATGGCACATGAGTGTTGAGAGAACACACTATGGCCTTAGCAATCATCAGGTTCAGAAGAGGCTTTAACACTCCCAGGTGTCAGGTTAGAATGGCAACCTGATCTTCTGACTTTCCCATCTGGCGATACTTCAGCAATCAGTTATGTAATGGAAATTGGCCTGCTCCTCCTATAATTTATAAAGCGCCTCTTGCAATTTCTTCTGGGTCATGTCTTTGCAGAGCCCCGCAAGAATCAGCCTCCTGTTGCCATTGTATCACCACAGTTCCAGGAGATCTCTCTGCCAACCACTTCTACAGTCATTGATGGCAGCCGTGAGTACTTGTCTAACATGATATTTTAGAATAGCATTCACTGTGTACTCTGGTAGAAGATTTGGGTCCAGCTATATCTGCATACTGTTTAGGCCAGTCTTCTTGGCTGTGTTATGGGAAAAGCAACCATCAGAAGCAACTGATTAGGAAGTAAATACCAGACAGGCCCTGTATAAAATCCCCGTGTGGCTTGTCTGAAGTAATATTTCTGCTCTGAAATGGTAAGAAAGTGAGATGATTCATATATTCAGCATTATTTCCATTGAAACTTGCTGGTTTTCAAATTTGCTTTGCTAGAGTTGCCATTCTCAGTTATGGAAACAAAGCTCCTTCCTATCATGGTAAGATAAGTAACTAAGTCTTGACGAAGAGCTCTCATCCAGCCATCACTGCTTAGCAAGACTTGTCAGCCTTCTCCTGAAGAGAGACACCGAGTGTGCTCCACACCCCTGCCTGGGCTCATTATTTTACCCTTCAAAGTAGTGTTACCTGAGAGGTGACATGAGAGGATTTCTGGGTCTTAGTCTTTGATCCTAGCTATATGTGTGCAGGAGAGTTCAGTCCTGTCACCTTGTTTGCTTGGTTTCTTTTGAGACCCATTAAGGCTTTGTTACCCTGACTGCCTTGGCACCAACAGTGGTTTTGGCAGAGGTAGTCACGGCTTTAGCAGAGGAATCTCCAGCAAAGTTTAGCATTTAACGTAGATGGTTCTGGTAAGAAGAGGAAGAGAGAAGAGTAGCAGGCCAAGAGGAAGAGACAGAATAGGAAGAAATACTTGTGAGAGTGGTAGAAAGGGCTCACATAGTATGATTTTATTTTGTATTTTTGAATGGATCAAAGTTTAATAATATGTAAAGGTATACAGTGAAAAGAATCATTACCATCCCTATCTTACAAGTATCCAGTTTTCCTCTAGACAACCAATGGTATTATTTTATGGATCTTTCTAGAGCTATTTTACACATATATAAGAAAATATATATACAGTCTTTATGTTAAGACATTATGCACACTGTTACGGTACAATGCTTGTTTCTATATATTGGAGAATTTTTCTTGATCAGTACATGCATTACTTCTTCATTCTTCTTTTTCTTTTAACTGTTACATGGATAATTTCATTGCAGGGGTATATACTTGTTTTCAGTCAGTCTCCTGATGACCATTTAGGTTATTTTTGATTTGCTGTTACAAATAATGTTAGCATGCATAATCTTGTAAGCATGACATTGAACACATGTGCAAGTATATCTGTAGGATAAACTCCTAGAGGAGGAATTGCAGGGCAAAGACAAATTTTGCCAAATTGCTCTTTATATAGGGTGTGTCAATTTGTGCTTCTACCATGGCTTATGAGGGGGCCTCTTTCGCCATATCTTTACCCATATCATGTGTTATGAAACTTTTGATAGGTTAAAAAGTGCTGTCTCAAGTGTAATTTAAGTTTGCATTTCTTTTATTTTTAGTGAGGTTGAGTATCCTTTCATGTGTTTAAGAAATTCTGATTTTCCTTTTTTTATGCTGTAGCATTTTAACCAGAGGTTGCCTGTGTTGGAGTCCCTGGAAAACTATGCAGTGAAATATTCAGAGAGAGGCAGAATGACCCAATAATCTTAGGGAAGAAATACACTAGAGAGATACTCTGTAAATTTAAAAAGTTTTTCTAGCCTCAAATCTCTGGGTAGTTGCCCTGGTTTGTGTAAACTGAATAAGTGCTGAGACCCAGCACTCTCATGTTGTGACTGATGTTTCTTTGTGGTCAAGAAAGCACTGATGATGATAGAATCGTCCAGTACCATTGGGAAGAACTCAAGGGACCTCTGAGAGAAGAGAAGATTTCTGAAGATACAGCCATATTAAAACTAAGTAAGCTCGTCCCTGGGAACTACACTTTCAGGTAAATTTGGATCCTTCAAGTTCACCATGGGCCGTTTTTATCCCCTTGTGGGTCTTACATTCTTATAGGAGTAACTCTGACAGATACCAAATTCCCTATAGATTGGTTGGTAATATAGCCTTTGGTTCCATTGGTTCTTTGAGTCATGTAGTGATTGTGGTTTAGCAGTGGTAAGTTTTTAGGACAAAGATCCTTGCACAATACATCAGGATCCACCACAGTTAATCCTCAAAGCCTTACTTGGCATATACCCAAACTTTTTTTTTTTTAAGCATTTTTGTCAATAAGTGAAAGGGCCCATCTTCCTTTGCCTTTTCTCAGGAAAAATCTAGAAGGAATCTATTCTCATATTATCTCTTCTCTTTGGGAAATGCTTCCTTAACTTATAATATCTCAGAATCTTTACTTTTGACTAGTGGTTTATTTGAATATGATTTGTAGGATCTTTCTGTGTCAGGGATTTTTGGAGAATTTGATTCAAAGTCAGTCTTTTTGGAAACTGGTGTTGACATTCTATATTGTAATTAATAAGAGTGATTAACAGAGGCTGACTCTAGAGTAATCCCCTTTATATTTGCATTATTCTTTGTATGTTACAAGGCACTTGTACATGAGTGTCATATAAACACCATGTGTGCACTGTGCTATCCTCATTTTACATCTGAGAACATTGAGGCTCAGTGTATTTACTAACTTCTCTGCGGTCACACAGCCAAAACTGAAATGCAGATTTTCTAACTCCGAGTCAGGGCCCATTCTACTCTTCTCTTTGACTTGATCCATAAGTGTTTTGTTTATGCTTCCCTGAATACCCTTCTCAATCTGTTGGAGTTCTGCCTATCTTTAAAGACTTCTTCAGTTTTCTGCGAGACTTTCTGAGATCCCACCAGGGAGGAGAGAATATGTCTCTCCTCTTTCCCTTTTGTGCTCAGTGCCTCTATGTGGCGCCTGCCGAGGCATAACAGCTTGTTCATGGGTGTCCATCTTCTCCACTGGATCTGAGATTAATCACGTTTTAGACACTGTCAGGGACACAGCGATAAATGTCCTAGCACAGCATCTACCATTTAAATAAATACACAAGTTCTGACTCAGCAGCACTCTCACTGACTCAAGACTTACAGGAATTAAAGGTAGCTGCCACTGCAACAAGGTAGGAGCCTTCTCATTGCCTTAAAATGGAAATGTGAGTTGGTTTTTACCTTAGATTTCTAATGCAGGAATTTTAACATTTATGGAATTTAGCCTGTGTCACATTGATCCTTTTTGAAATAGTACCAATAATAGCTGCTGCTTCTTGAACATTAACTAGTGGTTAGTGTTGTGTGACCTCTTTGTACACAGTAGCTCATTTAATATCCTTGTAGCTGGTATTACAATTACTCTTATCTTACAGGTGAATAAATTTAAGTACAAAAAGGTTAAGTAACTTGCCCAAGGACAGACAGGCTGTCTGACTCCAGAGTCTTAAGCTTTTTTTTTTTTTCATTTTTTTTATTGAGTTATAGTCATTTTACAATGTTGTGTCAATTTCCAGCATAGAGCACAATTTTTCAGTTATTCATGAACATACACATATTCATTGTCACATTTTTTTGATGTGAGCTACCACAAGATCTTGTATATATTTATTTCCCTGTGCTATACAGTATAATCTTGTTTATCTATTGTACATATGCCTGTCAGTATCTGCAAATTTCGAACTCCCAGTCTGTCTTAAGCTTTTAACCATAGTGTTAACCTAGAGTGTTTTAGGTGGGTGGGGTATTGGGAGTTATTCTTTTTATCTAAGCCTCAATTCATGAAATGACGGGATTGGATTTGATAAACATTAAGGTCCAATCTGTTTGATTCCACTTACCTTTTCTTTTCCCCTATGTGGCAGTGGCCTCAACCCTGTGGTCAGCTGCTGTCTGGTTCCAGGATTCTTACATACAAGCCAGGGACTGTTTGAGGTGAAAATCAGAGTAATGGGCTGCTGCCATTTTGCCATCTGTCTGTAATTTGTTTTTGTTCCGAACTAAGAGACAAATAGGATATGTTAAAAAAAAAAAAACAAACCTGTGAAAACAGAGAAACTGGAAAAAGAGGAAAACTTCTATGGATTTTTCTTTTTCAGATGTTTGCTGATTTGTGCATGTCTAGGTATCTGATGTTTTTGTGCTCTTTTTCTAAAGGCTCTAATCCCAAAAAATCCCCTTTAAGACCATAGGTAAAAGGTGAGACTGTGGGATAAAATTCCACAGATGTCTGACTCTTTCTGTGGCTGGTGGTGATATAACACCACATAAACAAACGACATGTCTTTTCTATGCTTTTCCTCTTTCTGTCAGCAAAATGGAAGGAGCCCAAACCTCCTTGCTTGCTTATGCTCACATTTTGAGGTGGCAAGAGAAGCTTTAGGCTGTTCAGCTGGAAGGCATCATTTAGGTAAAAGCCTGCTCTTATAAATGAACATTTTTTTTTCCTCTTGCAAATCATCTTTCACACTGCCACAAACTGTGGGACTGTTGCGTAGGAGAATTCATTTCCATCTAAGGCTCCTGTCTTACTGGAGCCAGCCCTCCTGGTCAATCCTAGAGGCTGTCTGCCTGGGAAGTCCATTCTCGTGCTGTGTACACAGCCAAAACAGGATGATGGGAGGAGAGTCTGCTGCAGTCAGAGCTTGCTTTATTTAGTGTAGCATTGTTGAGCCCCATAGGAATAGAGGCCAGAGACTATCACTTCTTAAGACGTGGTTCTAGGCTTTGGAATCAGAGCATCTTGGCTCACCATGTAGCTCCAGGCAGGTTCGTTAGCCTTTCTAAGCCTCCTGTAAAGTGAGATTGATGATACCTATTCTTTGATTGCTGTGAGGGCCCGATCAGACAGTGGGACCTTGCAGAGGTCCCAGCCACCGACACATGCAGGCAGCGGAGCAAAATGGTGCTAAAGTATATTGCCCGGATTCAGATCCTGACTCCACTACTTTCAAGCTTTCAAGCTTGGGCAAGTTACTTTACTTCTCTCTGTCTCAGTCTCCCCACATACGTAAGGAGTAAAATGGAGATAGTACTTTAGAGAGCTATTGTAAGGACTGAATACAATATAAAGCACCTAGCAGTGTCTGGCACACAGTAAACCCTCAGTCAGTGTTAGCGTCTAGTATTACTCTACCTTTCCAAAAGGAATAGGTAAGAATTGGTTACCAGTTGGTAACCCTGTCACCTTGGTATTTTTCAGCCTCAATTTTCAGTTCTCTCATGTTTATTCCTCTTTCCTTAAGCACATCCCTGACTGCACTCCCCTCTCTGCCCTGATAGCTTAACTGTAGTAGACTCTGATGGAGCTACCAACTCTACCACTGCAAGCCTGACAGTGAACAAGGCCGTGGATTACCCCCCTGTGGCCAACGCAGGCCCCAACCAAGTGATCACTCTGCCCCAGAACTCCATCACCCTCTTTGGGAATCAGAGCACCGATGATCACGGCATTGCCAGCTATGAGTGGTCACTCAGCCCAAGCAGCAAAGGGAAAGTGATGGAGATGCAGGTAGGAGGGAATGGTTTCTGTCTTTTCTTGCCCAGGGGAATTAGAGCTACTGGGCTGGGTCACCCATCCAAGGATTATTTTTGCTCCGTTTTAATTACCAAAGTCAGATTTGTGCATAGAACATTTGAATTTTTAAAAAACATCTAGAAAGTTTGAGGCCTTTAGTTAACACATTAACAAAAACCTTTATCTTAAACGTTTAGTATTAGAGGAAAAGACTAGGGTGCAGATCTTAGTGAGTTCTTTTACATATTGGAGGAGCTTGCCTGATTAGATGGTGAGCATCTTCTCCCTGGAGGTATTTAAGAGGAGACTAGGTCTGTCACCAGGCAGGTAATATAAATAAATAAAGAAAACTGGATGGGTCTATGGTGAGCCAGAGGATGTAAGCCCGGACTGAAGGGGTCAGCTGCCCCTCAGGTCCAGCTCATTGTTGTCACATTGGAGTATGGCCCCAGTGTTACTAGATCCTCTAGCTTTTCAAGAAATCTAGACCTTTATATGTAATTTTCCAACTTTTGAGACGCTAAGGCCTCATAAATGTCTGCAAGCTGTATTCAGCCCAGAAGCTGCCAGATTTTGCCTGCTGTTCTAAAGGAAGTTCCTGCATTGGCAGTTTGCTCTAAATTATTTATAATGTTCCTTCTGACACTCAGGAGTCTATGTTTCAGATTTGAGGCATGATAAAACTCACATTTCACCTGGCTTTAGTTTAAGTATTATGTTAGGTTTTTCTGCTTACAGATTGTGTACAAACCTTTAAGGGGACAGTGTGGCATTACATAGCATCTTGAGTTGTTGCTGCCATGTTTATTGAGGCAGCTTTGTTAGAATCACACTGTATGGCCTCAGTAGGAAGAACATTGTTTTTAAAATTGTGTTATTTTATTATATGTTCATGGTCTTCTTTCTGGCTTGTGTCAGAGAGAGACTGATCTTGGTTATCTCTACATTTGCCTGTACCCTCCTTCCTTGTGAGAGCTCTGACTGTATCTGGAACTGCTACTGTGTCAGGGAGGGTTGTTCTCTTGAAGGGGGAAACTTAACAAGATGTCCCACAGTGTCTGATTCAGCATTCACTACTTATGTTGAATTGGGCAATAATAGCCCAGCCTAGGTTTAGAAAACTGGGTAAATCATTTAAGTGAGAGTAGGACTTACTGTATGATGTTACAGTTCTGGGAGTCTGCTTTTCCACTTGTCTGTATTTATTTACCCAGGGTGTTAGAACACCAACCCTGCAGCTGTCTGCCATGCAGGAAGGAGACTACACTTACCAGCTCACAGTGACTGACACAATTGGACAGCAGGCCACCGCTCAAGTGACTGTTATTGTGCAGCCTGGTAAGTTCCAGCCTTGTGGTGCAGGCTCTTCTGTTGGCTGGTCCCTTGAACCTTGGGGAAGAAGAGGGCTCAGGTTCTGATCTGTATGAGGATAGAAGTGGGAGGTACCAATTTGTGGAGCCCCTGCAATTTCTGGTGTCCGTTCCCCTAGGGTTTTCTTCATAGCAAAAGAGAAGGAGCACGTCACAGTGTCAGCTTGTGCCCTTGTTCTTTGCTAGTTATTGTGCCTTTGAGGGGATCTAGCAGATAAGAGTCTCTACCATCCCAAATCCTACCAAGTCCTTTAAGGGCCAGCTTAAAGCCCACTTCCTCAAGAAGGCCCTGCCTTATCTCTCAGACCCTTTCATTTGAATGCTTATGACAGTATATTTCAAATTTAGCACGGAATTGTAACTTCATTATATTCTGCCATGTTCTTTCAGAATCATTTCATATGTTTCAGTCTTATATTCTTAATTGTGAACTCCCTGACCATACCCGTATCTCCCACAGTATCTGACAGTTCTGTGGGTGGAGAAGCAGAGTCCTTGTGGCTTCTAGAGTGTATGTCCCAGTTGGTTCCTCTCCTTTCCCAGCTGGACTGCCTGCTTTTGACCTCCAAGTCTCTGTCTTCTAGAAAACAACAAGCCTCCACAGGCAGATGCAGGCCCAGATAAAGAGCTGACTCTTCCCGTGGATAGCACAACCCTGGATGGCAGCAAAAGCTCAGACGATCAGAAAATTATCTCATATCTCTGGGAAAAAACACAGTGAGTATTGACACAAAACCCTTATGTATGCAATAGCTCCAGACCTTTGCAGGGCAAAGTTTTACTTGCTTCTGTGATTTTACTTACTTACTCTTACTAGCTTTCAAGAGGGGTGACTGAGAAAGAAATGTTTGCAATCCAAACTTCAACTCTAATAAAATGATATAAAATAATTTTTGATAGAAAAAAAAAAGCTTACCATCAGCTGTCCCCAGGTAGTACTTTGTGGTCCTGGTGCTTTTACAGGTACAATCCATCTGCTGAAATGCATAGTTTAATTACACTTAAGAGGCAGGATGGAAGGGGTAATGGAGCAGAAAAATACTGTTGCTCAAAATTAACTGGGTAAGGCTGGCAGGGGGGATGGGGCAGAGCAGCTATTAAGGAGAATTGAAAATTCATCTGCAAGATGAAAGCATTACACGGTTATTGTTTCCTTGAAGACACCATTTACCATTTATATTAGCCAGAGGCCAAAGGCAGGAACCAAAATAATACTAATTAAATTGGAATTACCTAATCGAACCATTCCTGGTTCTCACAGTTTCTTTCAGCTCCTTTAAACCATAACAAATGGAACTCAAATTATATGCAGGATTCAACAGGAAGCAAAAGAATTCCAAGGAAGATTTAAAAGCATTCTCAATTTTCAAAGGTAGCGACCACAGGACAGACTGGGATTTTTGTTTTTGTTTTTGACTAAGGCATTAGAGATGGGTGGGGAGGGGCTGTAATTTGACTTGAAAAACCACTTGACTTATGATTGGTGAGTTGGAGTCTAGAAATTATTTTCCTTAGTTCTTGTTTCTTTCGGAAAACCTAATTTTCCTCAACCCAGCATGTTTTAATTATGATTGTTGAAGATATGGCTGTTAAACCTTTTAGGTGAGTTTTACTGGTGTTTTTACAGCAGAAATGATGCTTAGCATAGCTTCTTGGAGAAATCTGTTTCAAGAGGGGCTGCTAGGGTCAGGGTTATTCATTTAAACAGCAAAACAACACAGAGCAAAACCTGGGAATCTGTAGATTTCTGTGATTGTCCTGTAGTGTTAAGGAAAGCTCTGAGGCATTTTGATCCTTGAGGAGGGTCTGTCTGGTGTGTGCAGTGTTGTGTCTGGATGTTGGCACAGAGCTCACTCCTCTGCTGCCGGCTGCTGTGTGAGGCCACAGTGGGGAAGGAAGGATGTGGGGTGTCCTGGGTCCTCTGTGATTCTGTCCAGGAGCTGGGGGGAGTTTTGCTTATAGAGCTGCTAAGAAGAGGATGGTTTTACCCTGAGAGTTCCTCTGCAGCCTTGGCCCATTTCCTTTCCCCGACTTCTCAGCAGGAGGGAGCTTGGCATGCGTTTTGCTTCTTTGCTGGCAAGAGCTGAACCAACTACTGGGCCAGAAATGCTGTTCAGAAACATCACTCTTAAATCATTCTTTTGATCAAAGACCTGCTCAGAGCACTTTCTTCCTTTTACAAACTGGAACAGCAAAGGGTTTGAATGTTCTAGAAGCTCTTGCAAAGGATAAGGCTATATGCGTTTGAAAGCTGGTGAATTGAATTTTCTGATCAGCAGGTAGCATGTATTTTGGGGTCAAATATCACTCTGTCCAAATGGAGTATTTTTAAACATGCCCTCTCAAGGTCTGGGAAACAATAGTTCGGGTCTTAGTTGAGGCAATAATTGTCCGTTCCTGCTGAGTCAGGGACAGGGGAACAACAGACAGGTACAACTCCACCCTCTTATTTTCTCTCTTTGTCCAGGGGGCCTGACGGGGTACAGCTGGAGAATGCTAACAGCAGTGTTGCCACTGTGGCTGGGCTGCAAGTGGGAACCTACGTGTTCACCTTGACTGTCAAAGATGAGAGGAACCTGCAAAGCCAGAGCTCTGTGAATGTCATTGTCAAAGAAGGTACCTTACTGTCTCGAGTTGGTGCAGCAGCCTCTGGGTCAGATAACTGAAGAATCCATCATCTCGTTTGGCTGCAGAAATTGATTAGAGACAAAGGGTGGGAAAGAAAGTTGAGGGTAAGGGCATGTGTTAGTTGCTTTTCTAAAACAGCCTTTAAATTGAGAGTGACTATAAGGTGAATTTTAACTTCTTGTTTTCCCTCCCTCACTCTCTTCCTTCTCAATTAAATAAGGAAAGAATTAAAGTTTTTTTTCCTTTGCACTTTTATTTTGCCTTTGCTGCTAAAACCTGGGGTTTCTGTGACTCTCCCACTTGCTACAGTGACACCTGCTGTCAGACTTTAGAATGACTGCCCTGCATTGTGTCTTCCTATGGTCATCCTAGGAGCCTGCACGCTGAGGCCAACTTAACAAAAGTGGATGGTTTGCAGCATGGTGATCAGTGATGGTCTTGGGAGAGGACTAAAAGCTGATAGTAGGAAAAACTATCAGATATGCGGATGATGTCAGACAGTATACTGAGCTCAGAGAATATAGAGCACACACTGAGTAAACAAAGCTGCAGGTGGGGCCCAGGATAAGAAAAGAGTCTCTCTCTCTCTCTCTCTCTCTTTTCTCTATTAAATGCTAAGAAAGGAGTCTAAAAAGATGTTCAGAGACTAATACCGTAAGTCATACTTTGAAGAGAATTTGTGGTATTAGCTGGATGAAGTCCGAACTTCAAGCCTTCGTTTTCAATCACCATATTCCCCCAAAGCAGAGAAGTGGACTCCTTTTGGGGAGGCTGCTGTGAGAACACAAGCGGAAACCATGCTTGTCCGCTCTATTGTACACTGTCAGGAGAACATTTCTCCGGGTGGAACTGGAGCCTCAGGACCTGCTGCCCTGGTAGCTTTAAATATATACTGTTAGTTGCTGGCATGGATACGCATTTAAAACAGTTCTCCATTCCAGATGTTTTTGATATTTAATTTCCTCATAAGCATCATGAAGAATCATTCCTTCTTTTTCTGAATGTTACATTATTTCAATGGTTTCTCTTTGGTTAGAAATAAACAAACCACCTCTAGCCAAGATAACTGGGAATGTGGTGATTACCTTGCCCACGGACACGGCAGAGTTGGACGGCTCCAAGTCCTCCGATGACAAAGGGATAGTCAGCTACCTCTGGACTCGAGATGAGGGGAGCCCAGCAGCAGGGGTAAGTGTGCCAGGAGGTGGTGAGCCACGCAGGTCAAGGTGGTGAGATGGGAGAGGAGGCTGAGCCAGACATCCAGTTATCTATTTTAACTAAGTGGTCTCTTGGGTCAAACCTGGATTGCTCTCTGAAATCCAGGGTGGTTAAATGACTTGCCTAGGGTCACCCCTCAAGCTGGCATGGGACAAAATGTGATTCTCTTCCCTGATCCTAGTGGCTGTGGGCTGTAGTGCCATCACAGAGCAGGAACTGCCCCAGGTCGAAGCTGTCCAGCCCAGAGCGGGGCTTAGTTATGATAGAAGCAGCAGCTGACTCCACGGTAGGAGTGTGGATCTGTCCTGCAACATAGCCATGTTGTTCAACCCCACAGGAGGTGTTAAATCATTCCGACCACCACCCTGTCCTCTTTCTTTCCAACCTGATCGAGGGAACCTACACATTTCACCTGAAAGTGACTGATGCGAAGGGTGAGAGTGACACAGACCGGACCACTGTGGAGGTGAAACCTGGTGAGTTCATTTAGAAGGAGACGGAGTGGAGCTGCTGGATCAGCCAAGCAGGGCCTCGATCCAGAGACCCTTCCCCCTGCATGTTCAGAGCCAGATAGCATATCCAGCTTAAAAAAAAACCCTAGATCTCCCAAACCGAGAACTCCTTAAAGGTTGTCTGTTCCAAGACCTCGCCTACCCATTCAGGAGTTCAGACCCCCCCCCACCCCCCCATCTCAGATGAAGAAATAGAAACTCAGAGAGAGCAGGGCTTGCTCAGCTTCACACAGCAATTGTGTCAGAGCCAGGCCTTTCTGCCCCTACTCCAGCACTTTTTCCCCTCTGTGTGACTGATGAGAGAGGGCTCAGGGTGCTTTGGGAATCTGAGCTCAGGAATAACTTGAGTCATGATGTCCCGTCAGCACCCAGATGCAGAAAACAATTTATTTTTGTAAGTTGAGCCTCAGGCTTTATCTGACAACCCAGGGAAGGTAAAGTAAGTGATGTCTTTTATATTTTTCAGATTTGCAGAAATAAAATTTCCTTCTTAAATAGAACCATGTTTTTGTTTTGTTTCAAGGCTAATTTGGTATTAGGGAGGAAGAGAACACAGGGTGAGGTAGAGCTTTATAAATTCCTGAGCATCTGATGAGAAGGTATATTAACTTTAAACCTACTGTTTATTATGTAGGCCGAGTTCATGTCTCAGATAGGAAGGGATCTTGGCAGGTCTTCCAATCCTTGTCCTACCTCTATGAAGGACAACAGCCAAGACACTATAACATCTCTTCTGTGTTTAAAATCAGATCACAGATAGTCTCAGATTATGTAACTTATACTTCAGAACGGGCAAATGGTGCATCCAAGTATGTGAATAAGGCGTTCTGAATAGTCACTTTTTACTACCAAGTGTAGAGCAATCTTTAGGACATAATCTGAAGTAAAACACAGTGGTCTCACGGTTCTAGAGCTGTGAAAACATCATGTGCTGTGATGTTTTAAGGAAATCCTTGTTTCTTGGCTGCCTGGATTTCCTTTGTGTTTACAGTTTTCAAACCTGTAAGGGCAGATGCATTCCCCTTACTGATATGATAGTTGAGATGGAAATTTTCCCTCCCATTGTTTTAGACAAAGGACAGCAAGTCACTGAAAATCAGATTGGATCAGAAGAAATCGCTAGATATCTCCAGTTGGCCTGAGAGTTGAGCAAAACCAATTGGGTAGAGGCTTTTAAAACAAACCTTGAAGTGTTTCTCTTTTCCCCACTCCCTTCACTAAACCCTATCTTTTTGGCCTGGTCCCCAGCACATGTGTAGTAATTCTCAGGTCGATATAGAGACCAGGAATGCTTCCGAAGCTCTCCAAGGCAGCCCAATTGCATTTGTAGGAGTAATTCACTATTGTGCCTTTCCATTTGAAGGAGATCAGTTGTTTTTCCAAATGTTCTCACTACTTTCTCTCCTGGGCCAAAACAAATGCACAATGGCAGGTCTATGTTAACCCTCCTACTTCTAAAGCCATGACTGATCCACATGCTTTCCAGATCCCAGGAAAAACAACCTGGTGGAGATCATCTTGGATGTCAACGTCAGTCAGCTAACTGAGAGGCTGAAGGGGATGTTCATCCGCCAGATTGGGGTCCTCCTGGGGGTGCTGGATTCCGACATCATTGTGCAAAAGATTCAGCCGTACACGGAGCAGAGGTAGCTGGGCAATGTATGGGGGGAGAAAAGGAGAGACCAGGGTTCCCCTGGGCTTCTTGATTGAGCTAAGAAATAGTGTGGTTAGATAGAGAAGGGTGGGCTCTCTGATTAGGAACCTCTCATGGTGTCCATTTCTTTAATGAACTTTCCTAGTACGGGTCAGGTGCTCTGTACTAGACACTGCACAGGGTACAAGGTCAGAAGAGGTCTGTGACGTTTGAAGACCATAGTCTAGTAGGGGAGATAAGCAAGTAAACATAAAATATCAGTACAGAGTGGATTTGACAGAATGAGTGTTATTGTAACCAGGTAGGGTAGGGGGGCCCCGGAGAAAGAGAACCAGGCATGGCTTTCTTGACATAAGAGAAGCCATTTTTGGTCCAAGCCGTTTTGTGATCTAAGCCTGGCCACAATGCTTGCCCTTGAACAGGTCTCAGTAATAAATGATCTTAAAAGAACAAAAGAATGTGGGAAAAGATGACTCTTATCGGCAAGAGAAGTAACAGTAGCAAAAATAATAAGTCAGTTGTAAAGCCTCCCAGTTTTGTTTTGATAGTAAAGATTAGCCTCAAGTACTCAACCATCAGATCAACTGGAACCAAAGGAATGATGGTATTGACCTTTTCTGATCCTCATGACTTCAATCAGCTAAAGCTTGACTCTTTTGACCTTTGTCCCAATTCTGTGCTGAGTTCTCTGCTCAAGCCTTCATGAATATGCATGTGCCCTTAGTGTAAAACGTTCCCGGTTTTGCTGTTCGGGGAGACACTGCTTTGGGAAAGATCCCAGGTGTTCTCCTTACTTGCCCCAAATGATAAATCCTTCCTTCTCCCCATCTTTGGCTTAGTTGTGTCTTTTGGCTCAACACCCACCAAGAGGCAAACCCAGGTTTCAAGTAACACTATCATGGAGATACAGAGGCAAGAGTAATGAATTCTTCCGGGAGGGTTGGGGTTGAGGTGGTCCAGAGATTTTTACAGGAGTAAAGCTTGCACTGATCAAGTGTAGGAGGACTGGGAGCAAATTCAGAGTAGGAGAACAGCGTGGACAATGGTTCTGTGGTATGAAAGTACAAAGTTTCTCTGGAAGAAGTCCTTTGGTTCAGAGCACTTCCTGGGCTCTAGGATATGGTGGAACATTGGCTGTGTAGACTGAGAACAGTCATAAGCAAGCCAAGCAGTTTGGTTTCAATAGTTTGGATTGGAGGACTCAAGTCAGTTTGTTTGAAGTTTTTGTTTGTTTTGTTTCTGAAGCAAGGGTATTTAGATAGGTTTTTTTGTTTTTGTTTTTGTTTTGGGGGGTGTGGAAGATCAGTAGTGTGGAGGCTAGACTAAGATAGGGAAAGACCAAAGACTGGGAAACTGACCAGGAAGCTTTTGGATTAGTCTAGTAAAAAGATGGTAACATCTGAATTGAGGTAGTGGCGATGGAAATGGCAGAAGAAAAGAGAAAATCAAAAGAAATTCAGAAGTAAATCAATAGGACTTGGTGATCTTTGGAAATGGAAGTGAGGGAGGCATCAAATATGAGGCTTTTGGTTTGGATGCCCAGATAGATGGTGAATGCCATTAACTGAGATTATGGATACAGTTTTGAAGAAAAGATAATGAGTTCAGTTTTCACTACTGAATTTGGGGTTTCTTATGAGTTACATGGGGAGTTGTTTCATCAGATAATAGCAAATACAGGCTGGAACTTGAGATGAAAGGAAAGGCTAGAGATAGGGAGTCATTGCATATAGGCAGGAGTCAAAGCTGTGAGGACGGATGAGTTACACTTAGGGCGTGTCAAGAGGGTTGAGGACAGAGCTCTGGAGAAAGCAGTATTTCATGAGGAGGCAAAGAAAGAAGAGCCAGCAAGGGAAACTAAGAAACAGCAGTCAGAGAGGTGGGAAGGAAACCAGGTGGGAGTGGGCTGCTGGAGATTAAGGGACAAGCTGGCAGTAGGGGGGCTGCCAGAGGATTCAGGTGCTTCAGAGACAGGTGTAGTGAGAATGCAAAATAGGTTTTTGGATTTGTGATTAGTAGATCATCAGAACTATAGTGAGAGCATTTTAATTAGATGCTGGGAGCAAATTTTTTTCATGGTTTGAGGATATAGAGATGGTAGTATAACACCTCTTTGAAGAGGTTGGTGCTGAAAATAATATTGGAGATGAGCTCAAAAGAATACGTCTTTTTAATTGAAGTATGGTTGATTTACAATGTTGTGTTAGTTTCTGATGTACAGCATAGTGATTCAGTTATACACACACATATATTTATTCTTTTTCATAATAGATTATTATATGTTGAATATAGTTGCCTGTGCTATACAGGAGGACCTTGTTGTTTATCCTGTGTATAGCAGTGTGTATCTGCTAATCCCAAACTCCTAATTTATCCCTCCCCTCCTTTCCCCTTTGGTAACCATAGTTTGTTTTCTATGTCTGTGAGTCTAATTCTGGTTTGTAAATAAGTTCATTTTAACCTTTTTTTTTTTTAGATTCCACATATAAGTGATATCATATGATATTCGTCTTTCTGTCTGACTTACTTCACTTAATATGATAATCTCTAGGTCCATCCATTTTGCTGCAAATGGCATTAGTTCATTCTTTTTTATGGCTGAGTAGTATTTCATTGTGTGTATATATATTATATATCAATAATTAATAATATCATTAATTATATTACATATAATGTATATAAAGCACAACTTCTTTATCCAGTCATTTGTCAGTGGACATTTAGGTTGCTTCCATGTCTTAGCTATTGTAAATAGTGCAGAGGAAAGGTAGATGGTGGAGATTGGGGAGGCAGGTTGTAATTGGAGGTGGATCTGGGGGGCTTGCTGTGGGCAGAGCAGGAGCACCACTTTCTTTGGAGATAGGAGGAAACAAGGGAAGATCATGGGTGAATTTAGAAGTAGAGGGGATGAAATTTGAGACTGTTGGTACCAACGTCCTGTTTTTTCTCTGAAGTGGAGGCAAAGCCATCTGCTTTCAGGAGGTGAGAGTGAGGTGGGCAGCCTGAAGAAAATGGTAAAGATTGGGAACAGCAGCTCCAGGAAAGGATGCTGGCTTTGAGCAATATTAGATTCTTAGCCAAGGTTAGAGACATGAGGCGAGAGCAGCAATTCCTAACTGGCTGCATAATAGAAGTCACCTGCAGCTTTTATGAACATACTGTTACCCAAGCCTCACCCCCACAGATTATGATTCAGTTGGTCTGGAGTGAGGTCTGGGCACCTAAAATATAAAAACTCCCCGGGTGAATCTAATATGCAATCAGGGTCCACTGGGTCAGAGACAGCATCATGATTAGGACTTTCTTTTTAAGCTCTGCTCAGCAGCCTGGGAGTAGGAACAGGGAAGGTGGCTGCTGGGATCGATCCAAGCTGGTGGGAATTGGCTGTGATGAAACAGTGGAAAGACACTAGCAAGAATGCGGGTTAGAGCATTGTGGAAAGGTTTGCTTGCAGACTTGCCGTCACTGCATCTGGGCACGAGGAAGAGCAAAGCATCACAGTGACTCTGGGTTTCTGGCTTGGCCTGGATTGGCTGAGTTGAGGAATTCTGGAGGAGGATATGATTGGAGGGAGATAGTATATTACGCTGGGAAAGAGCATGGGCCTCACCCCAGGCAGACCTGGCTTCTGAGCCCTGCTCTGTTAGTGGCAGCTCTGTGACAGTGAGCAGGTTACAGTACCTCTCTGAACAATGTTCTTCACTGATGCTAGTACCCACATTGTGGGGTTGTTATTGAAGATTACATAAAATAATGTTTGTGTAAATTCTACCTAATAAAACTGAAAAATGAAAAAAAAAGATAATGTTTGTGTAGTCCCTAAAACATAATGAGTCAGTTAGTGCTTATTACAAGTTTATCTTGAAACATGTGGGATTTGAGATGCCTGTGGAAGAACCGGGGTAGATAATCTAGTAAGCATTTGCAGATGTAGATTTTGTCACTCAGGAGAGACATGGGGAGAGGAGATAAAGATTTGAGGGTTATTTGTATATAGACAGAAATTGAAACTGTAAGCCTGGATTAGGTAGCTAGGAGAAAATAATGAGACATGGACGACAAATCTTTTATGGAAAAGTTTTGTTTCTTGATTCTGGAGTTCATAATACCCCATTGTTAGCCTCACTGTGCTGCAGGCTTTTAAGTCTTTTATGATAGGGCTTCCCAAACTTTCGTGTCAATCCACACATAGAAGATGATGCTGTTTATATGGCACATTGGGATAAATAGACAGTTAAACTGGAAGCAGCTGGTCCAGGGTCTCTTGGATACCGAGATCCCACACAGCAGCCCTGTGTTCTATGGAGATCGGTATCTGGGGCACACCTGTAAACCCAGTGTGACCCACTGGGAAGTTTCAGTTCCTGAGACTAACATGGAGTCAGGAAGCAGACTGCCAGAAATGGAGGCCAAGGCATAGAGAGCAGGTTTTGTGCCATCCAGATGTGAGTTCAAACATGGTCTGCCTTGGACAGAAGTTGACAGTTAGAAAGCAGAAGGATTCTGGGCATGGGATAACATAACCTTGTACCAGCCACACCATCATGTAGGGTCTGTCTTGTTGCTGTCATAGCAGTGATCATTTTGGCTGTTTTGACCTATGCATAATGCTTTGATCTGTCCAACAATTTACATTTTACAAAGCACTGTGGTTTGTCTCACAGATAAACCAGGCACAAACCCAACAGCACCATACTCTTAGTTGTTAAAAGGTTGACAGCAGGGATGTAGCCATAACCAAATCCCCGTTTTTCTGACCTCTAGTTACCTGTTTGAAATAGATCTTGTTAGCTGGGGCAGCTTGGGGCAGCCTAGGGTTTTTTTAAAAGCCTATACTTTGGAGTCAGACATATCAGGGTTGGGGTTCTGGCTCTGCCATAATTAACTGTGTGACCTTGGGCAAGTTACTTAACCCCTCTGAGCCCCAACATTGTCCTTTGTAAAATGGAGATGATGCTGATAATCCTTTCTCATTGGCTTGCTGTGAAAGAATGTGTGTAATACTTAGCACAGCGTTTGGCACAAACAGAAGGTATTTAGCAAACTGTAGCTTTAACAATAGTTGTTGACAGTTTCAGCTCATTCATACTGTTGTCTGTCTCTGCAGCACCAAGATGGTATTTTTTGTTCAAAATGAGCCTCCCCACCAGATCTTCAAAGGCCATGAGGTGGCAGCGATGCTCAAGAGTGAGCTGCGGAAGCAAAAGGCAGACTTTCTGATATTCAGAGCCCTGGACATCAGTACTGTCAGTGAGTAGATTCTGGGACGCTGGGAATGAAAGCCTGCCCAGGGCCCGTGGCTCACCTGTCAGTCCCCACTGCCCTTGGGCTTCATTTCCTGTCCTCCCACGACAAGGAGGTGATCCCTTGCCTCCACTACCATTATCATGAAGGAGTCTTGACTCATTGTAGAGGTTCTTAACCTGGAGTCCATGGGCCTCTGAGATAATGTTCAGAGAGGCTATGAGTTTGGGAAAAAAATTACATCTTTATTTTCACGAACCTCTAAGTGAAATTCGTTGTTTCTCTTAATCATGAAAATAGGCAACAAACTCCAGTGGTATTAATAGAACGTGTGACTTTAAGGCGATAGAAATCTCAGATGATTTCATTATCCTACTACATGGTGGAATAGCATTTTCACTCGTCACTACTTCAAAAATAGCACCAATTGTTAGACCCACTCCTAGATCTTGTTACTTAATGTTTCAATAAAGACACATACATTATTTTTTAAAATTTTGTTTTCTTAAATAATTCAAAAACGTGGTCAATATAATTGCTTTCTTTTGTAATACTATATGTTTTATTTTGGCAATTAAATTCTTCAGAGAAGGGGGTCTCTGGGCCATGAAAGATTTAGAACTGCTGATTTGGAGAAACAAGCAGAAAGAGTCTGGAATCTTCCTCACTGCTCCAGTTTGATCCAGCCATGATGACAGTAATGGGCACTGTGCCCAGCTGTGCGAGCCTTTGGGGTGGGTCTCCATGAAGTGTCATCACAGGCCATTGAGCAGAGGGTACCTTTGTATCTTCATTAGCCCTAGGAGCTGGTTGTCCCCCGACTCTGGCTCCTGTTGACTTTTTCCCCTTTATTGCTACTTTCAGCGTGCCAGCTGAACTGTTCTGACCATGGTCACTGTGATTCATTCACCAAACGCTGTATCTGTGACCCTTTTTGGATGGAGAATTTCATCAAGGTGCAGCTGAGAGATGGAGATAGCAACTGTGGTGAGTTTTCTGCTTGGCACCGTGTCAGCTGGCTTGGCACTGAGAGTGGCTCTGAGTTGAGTTGGGTGGGTGTTGGTGTTTCCAAGGCAGATGAGCAAGCGAGGAGAAGAACTTTGTGTATTTTCTGTTTGCAGGGGACTTTTACTTCCTTCCTCCACACTTGCTCAAGGTTAGAGGAAAGCTCTGAAGCAGTTGTTTAAGAAGAACCAAGCTTAAATCAGATCAACTGCAAATTGCAGCCTAAGTCAGACGAGCTGCAAGGCCTCCTGTCTTTTTGGGGTGCCTGTGTACTCTGGAAGCCTGTAGGTTTCTATCCCCCACTTTCCCTTTAAAGCTCCTTACAGTCTGCCCCACGGCACCAGGGTCTCTGAGCAGCGACTAGAAAGCAGGGGCAATTCATAAGGTTTAAAGTTTTAGGTGCCTTCAACTCCAAGGTCTCACCCTCCCTGGGGATCCCTGGGGGCCTTGTCTGCAGAGTGAAGCCGCCTCCTGCCCAGAGTGGGGCAGCCCAGACTGCCCTTCTAGCCTCTCTCTTCACTACCCTCACCATTTTGTTTTTCTTGGCAGAGTGGAGTGTGTTATATGTTATCATTGCTTCCTTTGTCATTGTTGTTGCCTTGGGAATCCTGTTCTGGACTGTGATCTGTTGCTGTAAGAGGTAAGATGGACTTTTCCTTGGAAATTCGTTCAGGCTTACAATCACATGTTCATTCATCAGAGAGGTAAATAGAACCTTCCACATGGAGGGTGCTAAGTCCTAGGTTTCCTCCCTTCCCGTCACCGTCTCCGTTACAGTGGTTTGGCTCACTCAAGGCATGCACAGAAAAGCTGTCCTTACCCTCTGACTCTCCAGAGGGCACACTCCTTCAGCCAAGTGGCTGTCACCATAGTGGTTTGCAGTCTGGAAAACGCAGCTGTGGCTGGAGTGGGAGAGGGGCATCTGGGTGTGAGCCTGGCTCACATCTCTAGGGTGTGCGTCCTTTAATACCCCGCACTTCAGCCTCACCACCTAACACATGGGTTCTTAATTTGTCTGCCTTCCTTGCAGTTTGGAATTCACGTATATACGTGTTTTCACAAAACTGGAGGCTTAGGTTAGTCATGATTGTCTTCTGGGTTTTTTCATTTAGGCTTCCTATCTAGTCTCATAATATTTAATGGTAATGTTTATTATGTTTTTCATTATTAATAATGAGTGTCATTTCTAAGTTTACTGTGTGCCAGGCACCATGATCACATTTTATACATTTTATAGGTAATATCTTTTCTAGTATGCATAACAACTTTTTCTCATCTTAAAGATGAGGAAATGTAGGCTCAGGAAAATGACATCACCTGTCCGTGGACAGTTACGTGGCGGAGCTGAGATTCAACATACAATGTAGCTTCACGGTAAAACTTAGAAAATTAAAAGAATTTTAAAAAATTCCCACCAGCCTAAGACAACCACTGTTTACAGCGTTGTTGGTTTAACGCTTTCCCCCACCCCACACCCTTCAGGTGTAGGGGCTTCATCTCATTTACATTTGTAACCATCTATTCTTCACTGTCACTGTGGAGTGGTAAGCCCATGATAAGATAATCACGTTTCCCTTGCCTTTTCCCAAACTGGTGAGGAATACATAAAGAACAAACCACAGTTGCTACCTTCCCTGGCTGAGAAGCAAGGAGAAACAGCCCTTCCATTAAGCAGTTGCCCCCAAGACAGGGCCCTGTCTGCAGTCTGGCTGTCATCCTGTGGTGTGCCACCTGAACCTCACGCACAGCCTCTTTCCTGAGCAGGGGCAGGGATTGTGTTTTTCAGGCAAAAAGGAAAACCTAAGAGGAAAAGCAAGTACAAGATCCTGGATGCCACAGATCAGGAAAGTCTGGAACTAAAGCCAACCTCTCGAGCAGGTAGTGGTCCTGGGACCTGGGAGTCGGGGGGTGTCTAGGTTGGAGCACTCTCCCTAAAGAGCTACCATTGTCACCTGTCCCTTCCCAGATGTGTCACTAACAGCTCTTTGTGCAGGAAAAGCATCTTGTCCTCTCCCTGTTGAGGGCTGAGGGCTGGCTTTGCCCTGTGCTGGCAGAAGCTGCCTGCTGGGCAAGCTCTGACTCCAGGGCTCACTTCTCAGCATTCCATTCACTGTGCAGAGGGGCTCAGCCTCTCACTGTCCTTTGCCTGCTTGTTTCCCTCAGGGTTCCCACCTGGAGTTGAGCTTTCCACGCCACCCTGTAGTCAGGCTCAGGGACCTTGGTCTCTTATGCCTGACCAGATTGTCCTTTCTGGGCAGACAGCAAGGTGAGGCAGTGAAGAGTTCAAAGCCAGTGTCCAACAGCTGGCCTCCTTTCCAGCTAGCCTTCCTCTCCCACTTTCCTCTCTCCAGTATTTGGCAGGTGGATCTACAGACTCCAAAACGGTCTTAGTGCAGGTGGAAGACAGCTCCCCTGCTGGCTCCAGGTGCACTGGGCTCATCTGTCAAAGAGTTTCCAACTGCCCAAGCACTGCAGTGGCTTTCAGTGATGGGGCTCATAGGGCCAGGGCGGGTAGAGGGCCCCCTTCCCCACCTGGGCTCGGTCATTGGTGAGGTTCCCATTCGTCTTGGATGCCACAGGACAGTCTTGTGTGCTCAAGGGGGCTGGACTCTATGTAGAGCTGTTCCTGAACACTCTAAAGTAGAACTATTTTTGTACAGAGTATTTATTAAACATATGTCATACTTAAAGCTTTGTATTAGGAGAGGCTGTAAGGGAACTCTAGAGAGTTCTAAGATACAGGCCCTGCCCTCAGAATTTCACTCTAGTGAGGGAGAGAAGATATATCAGAAGGAAATAAATGCTTATAGACAGTCTGGGTTCTGCACTCAGGCAGCTGGATTAGGGAACGCAATGGGGCGGCACCTGGAGGCTGGGGGCTAGTGAACCACAGAGGTGCGGCCAGGGAGTGTCCCACACAGTGTACTGAGGATGAAGGCCTAGAGGGAATTGTGCACAACCCACCCTCCACATGGTGGCCAAGGTTGTGTTTATGTTGCTCTGACAGGTTTCTCCACCCCTTGAAATCCTGCAGTGACTTGCTTTTGGCCGGTAGACATGGTGAGCTTCCAGCAGTGTGCTTCTCTGAGCGCCTCCTCTTTGTTGACTTCTCTCTTGTCTAAACAGATTCTTTTGGTTCATATTTCTGTCCAGAAAGCACCTTCTCATCCTTCTCTTAACCTGCCAGTTAAAGTCAGGCTTGTCTTTCTCCCACGTCTGTTTCAGCATTTCTCTCACCATATGGGATCACTTATGTATGTGTTTGTCCCCTTACCAGCCAGTGAAGTCCTTGAGGGCAGGGACTGTGTCTTACTCACTCCAAATGTGGAGCAGGACCACCGTGCACCAGGCCCTAGGCCAGACACTGGCTACGTTAATGGTGAACCAAACAGTCGCTGCTCTTGTGTAGCTTGTATCAGGCAGACATTAAACAAACGAATTCACAAATGTACAGGATTTGATAATGGAAGGTCTTTATGAAGAGTGACAGACTGAGACCTGAGGGATAGGTAGGAGTTAGGCACGTAAAGACTCTGAGGAATAGCATTCCAGGCAAAGAAGCAAAGTTGGTAAAGGCCTGGCTGCTGGAAGGAGCAGAGGGCACTGGGGGAAGACATGGTGAGCGCGGGCGAGTGGCACAAGGCCAGACAGGTGAGCAGGGACCTGCTCTGGGTTTCTTCCAAGAGCAAAGGGGAACCAAGGGTAGTTTTCTTTTAAGGAGGTGAACGGTGCAATTAGATTTTCATTTGAAAAAGAAAAATGTGGCTGCTATGTGAAGGAATTGGAGAGGCAAGAGTGGGTGAGAGGAGACTGGATAGAATGTCCTTGTGGTGGAACGATGATGAGATAGGCAGATAGATTCCATATACATTTTGAGGGAGGACTTGCTGGGGTTCATGATAGCTTGTCCGAGGGGAGTGTGCGCAAAGGAGAAGGAAAGGATGGCCCCCGAGCTTCTGCTTTCAGCATCTGTGGATTGGGTGGTCTTACTCTCTGAGATGGGAGAGACTAGGGAAGAGATGCTGGAGAAGATCATTTGGTTGGGACAGTTATGAATGGGGTTGAGGAAATGAGGCTAGAAGATTGATGAGGATGAAATTGCGGGGCGTTTTGAACATCAGCCTGAGGAGTTAGGCCTTTATTCTGGTGGTGATGAGAAGTGTCATCTTGAAAGTGCTGGCTTAGCAAAATTAGTCTAGTGACAACATTTAATTTAGGGAGAGATTACAGGTGGGGGCTCAGACAGCTTGGTGTCAGTGGGATGAAGGGACAAGGAAGGTCAAGGCTGACTTGTGACCTGAGAGACAGAGAATGATAGCACTGGTGACAGAATCAGGACATCCGGGGCAGTGATGGTTTGGGTAAGAGGGGATGAATTAAATTGAACTCAGCAGAACAGTTAGGCTGGGAAGTGTCACTATAGGAGTCTCCTGTGGGCTGATGAGGGTCAGCCCCACAAAAGTGGGTCACAGACCTTCTGGGGAGAGTGCTGGGGACAAGAGAAGAGACCAGGGCTGAGGAAGGGCTATCATGAGGGAGGAGGGAGCGGTCAGCAATGTTTGCTGCCGCGGAAGAAGAGGATGAGAATGGACAGCAATGATGGCAGTGACGACACTGGAGGAGTTTCTGGTCACCTAAAGAGCTGGAGTGGATGGTGAATGACAGCAGAATGAAGTGTAGTTTATTTAGGAAGTAAGTAGGTCATGAGGAAATGGAGGCCCTGAATATTTAAAGGTCCTTTTAGAAGTTGAGTAATGAAAAGTGGAGGAGAAGCAGGACAGGGTAGATGTGGCTAGAGATGCAGAAAATAGAGGTGAGGTTCCCGACGAGGAAGGAGGGAGTAGGGGATTACGGAGAGAGTGGGGGGTGGGTGGAGTTAAGATACCCCTTCTGAGCAGGAGAGAGGGAGAAGCCCGGAGGAGGCACTCAGCAGTGCTGGGGTGAGGAGCCAGATGGGGAGTGAGTGTCGCAGCACCGAGGGCTCCAGGGAAAGGGGAGGTAGGAGGGAGGGCCGGAGGTGGTTGCTGCCCCTCCACACCCAAGGTGAGACTAGATGAGGGTCGGCAGGCCCTCGTCCTCTTGTGGGCAGTGTCTAGCTGGGGAAGCAGGGAGAGTCCCCTTGGATCTGCTGTGGGTCTGACCAGGCCAGAACCCCCAGCTCGTCCTGGGCTCTGTGGCGGATTAGCAGGTGTAACCCAGAGCAGCTACTAGTAGGAGGAGGAGAACGGGATTCAGGACCAAGTTGTATAAGGTGTGGAACCGAAGGGGTTCCGCTTGAAGAAGAGTAAATTTAGTGGGGAATACGTGCGTGGACGTGCACTGAAACAAACACTGTGCCGGGAGCCAGGTTAAGGCCCCGCCGGAGTGAGCCTGGAGCTGCCGGCACCGAGTGCCGCCAGGCTGACGTGGGGACGCCCGCCCTCGGCATGTGTGGTTTGCATTCAGCAGCTGTGGTCTTGGGTTTGGTTTTGCTATTCTAGTGATTTTTTTTTCAAAACTTTCTACTGAAGTGTATTAGATTAAACCATATAAAATTACTGATATTTGGCTTTTTTGACCCATGAAACTAGTGGTTTTCTGTGGTTCAATCTAATATGCACAGAAAATCATGAGCACAGCTCAGCGGGGTTCACAGGTGAATGTGGTCATGTAATCAGCACCCAGAAGTGCTCCTTTTTGCTTCTTTGCAGTCACTGCCTCCCCCCAGTTTACTTCTAATATCTTGGAGTAGTTTATATAAATGGAATCATGCTGTTTGGCTCCTTTTACTCAACAGTGCATTTATGACATTCATTTGTGTTGTAAGATAGAGCAGTAGTCCATTCTCATTGCTTTATAATTTCCGTTGTGTGAATGTATTTATTCGTCAGGCGTATTGTTGACGGGCAGTTGAGTTCCTTCCGTTTTTGGCTGTCGTGAGGAGAGCTGCTGTAAACGTTCTTGGCCACGTCCTTTGATGAACATACACGTATGGGTTTCTGTCAGGTGTAGACCTGGGAATGGGATTGCCGAGTCAGAGGAGGGGTGTGTGTTTGCCACCGATACTGCCAGTTTCTCACTTGTACTACTTAGTAGGTGAATCCCACTCACTTCTTCAAGCAGAGTAGGTGCTAGTAGTGGGAGGGCCCTGGAAGAGTGCTGTGTACTGTGGAGCCAGGAGCGTGTCTTCCCCTCAGGCTCCTGTCCTCTGCACCTGTGGCCCGGAGGCTTTGGGGAAGATGGGAAGCTTTGATCGGGTGCTGAGAGGAGAAAGCCCCCGAAGGGTATTTCGCTTGTAGGGGCAAAGCAAAGGCTTTGAGAACCTTGACTTCCCCTGGGCTTGGTTCTTATGTTGCCACTGTCCCCTACCGCACTGGAAAGCCTGGGATGCTGGCGTGCTTCTCTGGCCCTGCTGCTCTGCCGTCCTGAGAATCAGTGGGAGGCGTGGCTGTCCTCAGTCATGTCTGGGAACTGTATCCCTGAGGTGGACAAGGCTGTTAGGTAAGCTTGCCTGAGCCCCACAGCACCCTGTACAGACAGACCAGCGCATGGGCAAGGTCTGTGGGGGTGTGGTTCCCAAGTGACAGATGCAGTCAGAGTCCGGATGCCCCATCATTTACAGCCTTAAGTCATGTCTGGTCAGACAGGGGCAGAATGGGTGAGAATCATCTCAGGACCCTCTTTCAGTGTTTTGGGGGATTTGGATGGGACCAGGAAGAGGGAGAGAGATTGTTGGAAGATGAGGGTTCAAACACACCTCACCGACTGGTCACCTTTTTAAGAAAGGAGGTAGGTTAGGTCCCTGCAGGTGAGCAGTGCCAGGCCCAGGGCACTGCCAAGCTGGGTTCTCACTCTTGGCAATTCCCACTTCTAGACCTGCTATCTCAGCCTGTGTTTTGCTTTCTCTGGAGTAGTATTTGCACCAGCCAGAGGGTAGCCGTCTTGCAGTGGGATGGGATGTGCCCTAAAGCTATATATTACTGGACCACTGTGTCTGGTCTGGCCTCTGCAGCCTTTGGGATGAGAGGTGAAGGGGACTACAGTGACATGTGGATTCTCAGGCATCTTTTCTGACCTCAGGTGCCTCTTATGGGTCCTTGTTTGTATATTCTAATGAACTGATGGCTTGGACTGTCTGCAAGTCCGCACTTCATTCAGGCTCTCAGGCTTCTCTGAGCCGAGTGCCTACTCTCCCACCTCCTATTCCTGCTCAGCGAAGCCAGAACCAGCGTCTGCACAGGCTGAAGTTGTGTCCTCACTCAGTGTAGGCAGCTCTGGCAGGCACTTTACATTCATGCTGACCCCGGATATCGTGAAAAGCTCATTCTCTAGAGCCTGAGTTCTTGTTCCTTTTGCTTTTCTGCCTCATGCAGAACTCCATCCTATTCATAAAGAGAGATGATAAAACATCCCACATTTAAGAGAGGAAAACAGAACATTGTTGGGTGGCACAAACCAAAGCTAATAGATGCGGGAGATAAAGAAACCCCATTGGAACCCAGAGCTGTTGGTCCCCAGTCTACTCTCTGTGACATTCCTGATGGGATGGTTCCAGCGAGCCAGGACTGGGAGGACTCGGGAAGGCTCCTTCCCTCAGAGAGGGCCCCATGACTGTCCCTGTCCCTCTGCTCCTCTTCAGGCTGGGAGGAGGGTGCAGGGCGTGGCTCAAGGCAGAGAAGATTCGTGCTCCTGATGCTGGGCTCCTTGACTCCCTTGCAGGCATCAAACAGAAAGGCCCGATGCTCAGCAGCAGCCTGATGCACTCTGAGTCGGAGCTGGACAGTGACGACGCCATCTTCACGTGGCCCGACCGGGAGAAGGGCAAACTCCTGCATAGTCAGAACGGCTCTGTGCCCAACGGGCAGACCCCGCTCAAGGCCAGGAGCCCACGGGAGGAGATCTTGTAGCCACCGGGTCTGCCTCCTCAGGTTAGGGCTTGGCAGTGCCAGGGGTCCAGAGCATTGCTAGGCTGGTTCTCATACTTCCTGTGTCAGAGGGCAGCTGTTCTCCCAGCATCTGCTGGTCACTTCACCCTAACATCCTCAGCCAGAGCTGCTGGTACTTGAATCCAGACATTCTCCGGGAACCCCCGAATGAAGCTGTGAACGAAGAGGTTTCCTCTTTAAATTTGTCTGGTAGGTCCCCCAAATGTCCTCACCTCAGGGCCTCCTTTTTTGCAAACCCTTCCCCTGCTCTGAGAATGGCTGCCGCCAGCTCTTGGCCTCCTCTCCCAGCTGCCTGTTGGTAAGGTTGCTGCTCCTGGGGCGGCTGCACAGAGAGGCCTGGCTGTATCCCTCACATCTGGGTACAGAACCAAGCACCACCAGCCTTCTGGCTCCATAAGCCCGTGTGCAGGTGTGTCCTTTGCTCTCTTCTTTGGGATGGAGTCTCCCCTCTCACTAGGCCCAGAGGAAGTGGTGCCCCCTCCTCACCACTGATGCTGGGCTGGTGTCTGGCCCAAGGATAGGGAAGGGCTACTGTTTCAAGAATGGAGAGGACCCCTCTTGCTGCTGGGCTGTTGTGTCAGGGCAGCCAGGCTGGACACAGACTGCCACCCCTCTTCCTTCTGGCCACCCTGGCTGGCTCAGGCCACTACTCCCTGTGCCCAGAGGGAACAGCCACAAATAGACTAGAATATTAAGGCATGAGAGTGCATGTGTGTGACTGCTCACTTGATGTCCGTTTGTGTGTCTTTTCTGTGTATCCCCTAGCATGGGTGTGTGTGTGTGTGTTGGAGTGTGTGTGTGTGTGTGTTGGAGTGTGCGTGTGTGTTGGTGTGAGTGTATGTGCATCAACTCCTTCTAGGGTTCTTGGCAACCTTGAACTGGAAAGACTCATCTCCTTGGAACAGAGACTTCCTGAATCCCTCTGGCCCTGTCACTGGTTCCTCAGCCATGGTATCTAGACGTTGAGGAATGGGAGCTTTGGGGGAGTGGCTTTTTAAAAAGAAACTTACAGTTTATACTACTGCACTATTGTCTGTTGTGAGATGATTAAACCTGCTATTTAATTGCTGGGCGCGCTGCTTTATGCTCCATTGCTGCATGGGTCCAGCCACCTGTGTGTCCCTGTGACATGATGGCCTTCCGCAGGGAAGTTGTGGGCCTGGCATTAGCACGTGTGGCCGATGGTGCTGGGATTCTGCCTCAGCGGCTGCCCTGGGAGCTGGTGGAAGAGTCACTGCCCTGAGCCCTGCTAGCCAGCCGGCTGTTCCTTGTGGCTTTTAGGGAAGGGAGTTTTCTGTCCTTTCTTCATACCCTTTGTGAACACAGAATTGGTTCACACACACACACACACAGAGCCACCCCCGTGGTCAGGCTGGAGATGCAAAGTGTCCCAACACTCAGGTGTGGCCGTTAGGGGTCCTACTTTTCCAAAGCAGAAGGGCCCGGCCCCTGCCCCAGAACACTGCAGTGTTAGTGGAAAGCTTGCTGGGCGTGTGGGGTAGGAGGGGGGCTGCTGCACCGGCTTGGACTCCCAGGAAAGGGAGGAGGGAGGACCTGGAACTCGTTCTCCCCACAAGGCCCTCTACACTAAAACCTGCTGAGGGTAGATGGTATTGGTTCTGTTTTTACAGAAACAAGGCATAGCCAGAAGTAACTCGGTCCACACAAACAGTAAATGACAGAATTAGAACTCAGGCCTCGCAGAGCCTATGCTGGGTCTGGATCAGAATCACCTTTTAAAAATGGATTGTTGGGCCCCACTGCTGCATTTCTGGTTGAGTAGAATTGGAGTGAAACAGGAGAATTTGCCTTTCTAGTGAGTTCCCAGAGGCTGTGCTGCTGGTTGGGGGAGCACACTTGGAGAACGGCAGGTCTGGAAGGGCACACTCAGTGCGTGGTGACTAGGGGGCAGCAGCTGCCCCGCCTGAGCGAGGGTGAAGGCGGTTCAGAGGAGGGGAGCGCGGACCTGCCCAGGACGCACGGCGGCCAGGGGTGTGCACTCAGGTGTGCAGGCACCAGAGTAGCTGGTGAGGTTGGTGTGTTGGAATAGCTTGAAGGATTCAGGAAGGAGCTAATAAGGACTTTATAACTTACTGACTTCATAGGTTTCTCCTATTTTCTTTGAGCCTCATTTCTACATCTTTCAATCTCAGCCACAGCTCACTGAAGGATATATTTTTATCTCAGTTTGAGATGAATAAAATAATTTTTCATCCCCTGCTCCACCAAGAAAAGGACAAAACCCAGAAACCGGTACTGCTTTCCTGGCTTGGGGTCTTGCATTGAGAAGCGCACCATGTCCCTATTCTCGCCTGACTCGTGAGAGAGGCAGAAATCCCTGGGCTTGCTTAGGGGGAGCTAGGCTACCTCCACAGCAGCCCATGTCACCCCAAAGGAAACTTTCTGAAATAATACTGAATTTTGGGAGCCTGGGATCCCGTGCCTTGACCAAACTTGGCTTGACTAAACACTCCTCTACCTTCAAAGGCCTCCGTCTTCCATTTCCTGAAAGGCTGGAAGGAAGGCCAGTAGAGGACACCCTCACGTTTCTCGAGGCCCACTAGGTGCTTTGTGTGGAGAGGAAACAGTCACCAAGAAGCAGCACTCAAAAGGAAGTCCGTAGGGCTGGAAGGCTGCAGTGCTGGCCTTCCTGCTGGGTCAGGGGCGGGGGGTAATGGGGAGAGACTCTGATTCCTGTTCTTCCAGCTTTCCTTTGGCCCATCTGACCAGTGAAAGGAGCGGGAGTGGGTGCTCACACACACTGGGAGTTGCTCTCTGAAAACAGGTATGGAAAGGAGGTAACGTGCAGCCAGGAACCATGAGCCCCTGGGAAAGAGGGTTTGAGGAGCATGGATCAGGCCCTTGAATCCTTTGTGGAATTTATGTTGAGGTTTAAAGGCACCTATTTAGTCTCTGGTCAAACCTGAGCCACCACTGTAACCCCTTTTACCTACATAACCCCTCACGTGTGGTTGGTGCTGGTGGTGGCTACGTCAGTCAGGAGCTCCAGTGCCAGTGCCGGGGGTGATGCTCTTGGCCCCGACAGGCTGCGCGCCTCTGTCCCCGAGTGCTGCGCAACAGGTACAGCTCCGTCGCCCCCACCCTGGCAGGCTGCAGTTGCTCAAGTTTGACCTGGAGGGTACTGATTAGGCTCTTCTGTTCTTCACCAGGAACAAAACTCAAGTGACCTTTCATGGGAAGGCCAGCCTTCTCAGGGCAGATACAGAACTGCCTGGCAGGTCATTGCTGTGCCCTAGTCTCACCTGAGCTGCGCTGTAGGTTTCCCTTCCCCACCACCTCTAACTAATCACGTTCCTGTGCAGTGACATCAGTGGTTCTCACGCTGGCTGCACATTAGAATCACCTGGGCAACTTTTTACTGATGCCTGGAACCCACACCCCATAGGTGGTTGTATTTTTAAATATTTAACTGATCCTTTATTAATTCCTCAGATAATCTGTGCCTACATAGCATGCCCTCAACAAGAGGGAAAGCAGCCCTTGGCAGCTCAACTCCAAAAGTCTTGGAAACCAGTTGGATTTGGGCAATAAAGAGGGGAAATACCCAGATACCCTCTTAATGACCTCAGGGAGAAGCCCTTGAACTTGGGTTTGGCAGAGATCAGTTGTTCACCAAACGAGTCCTTTTCCAGGACATACTACTCATCAACCTCTCTAGTCATCTACACAATATGGGCAGAAGAGAGGTGTTCCAGCTTTGGTCCTGATCCGTTAAAAACTTCCTGTGTGACACCCCCACCCCTGGCCCCTTTCCTCCAGGATCTGCTGGCCAGATGCAGAGGAGCACTCAGGGGACTCTGAGGCCATGGTAGAGACACACAAGGTGGAGGAAGCCTGGATCCTAAACCACTATTGAGAAAAGAGGTGCTCTACCAGAGTGGCCATTGGATTGTGATGAGAGAAATAAACTTTATCATGCTAGCCAGTGCATTTTTTAAAACAGTAATAGCTAGTGTTAATTGTGGGCCCAGGCTCTCTTCTGAGACAGGCCTCCCTGGGCCCAACTAAGCTACCAGGATTGATGGTGCTGCCTCAGCCCACAGCCACGTGGGCTGCAGGAGGGACAGCTGGAGAACTAAGGCACATCATGGTCTTGGCCATACAGTTCTAGGTCATGCCTTTTGTTCTTTTTCTGAAGAGCAGTAATAATTCAGATCCTTCTGTAGGATAAGGGCAGTATGCTTAGGGATCCAGAGCTGAGGGTATGTTTGCCTGTGGGTGTGGTCTGAGGACTTGAGGGCTTGGAGAGAAATAGTTTAAGTAATCCGAAACAAACTCCTAGGTCTCTGTGTGGGGGAACTTGCCACCTGACTGTTGACAGGAGTATTTCAATTGTTACTGTAACTTGTAGCCTAGAAAACTGAACAGATTTCCAGACACCCATTGCTAGGATCCAAAAAACAAAACAAAAAAATGCTTCAAGGACGAGTCAGGACAAATCCAGTGTAAAAAGTGTTTAATTGAAACTGTGCTGTAAATGACTAGCATTTTAGTATTCAATTGGAAATATGGCTACACGGAGGAAAGTCATTATCTTTGTGATCTGCAGGCAACCACGCACATCCTGAACCTCTGAAGGAGTCCAATACCCTTATGAAAAACAATGTCAGTAAACACCTGGAATCAGACCTGGGTTCCCAGTCTGAACTATAGAGCCCAAAACGGGGAAATGAATCAGGGAGCACCTGAGTCACATTTCCTTGGCATTTATTAGTTGGCTAAATAAATTAAACCACTAAAGTAGATAAAAGTGCAATCCAACTAGAGCAGTTTAAGCTTTTCCCCAGGTCATGCCCTCCAGCCTTCAAGTAGATCCTAGCGGCCTAGAATCTCCCTCTGAAGCCTGGGGCTACCTTGGGGCTACAGTGACTCACGTGCCTCTTAACACTGTGTATAGCACTCAGCCTTCTGTCTCCTACTTGCTTGCAAGTTCATGAGGCTGGAGCCGCCTATGTTTTGTAACACTCTCACCTCTAACAGAACACAGATGATAAGTATGTGAGAGCTAGAATACCTGGGAGTAGTCAATACCCAGGAAACTTCTCATTCTAATTCTGTTACATGGTGACAAAACACCTGAGTCTCATATACCTGTGCTTCAAAGGGTTCCTGTCATGCTACCCATAATCCACACATGCCCATCAGTGATTAATGCCAACCAAGGACCGTGACGGAGAAACCACAGACATGGCTGTCTTCATGAGAGATCACAGCACACCACTCTATCCTTTCCTTGTCTAAAAAAATCCCAAGCTTTCTCAAAAGCACAAAGCACTTTAAACATGGCACTCTTTAGAACTACTAAACACCATATTCTCATTTGGAAAAGCATTATTAACTTTAGCATTCCAAAATACCGTCATATTTCTAGTTCCTAGCACCGTGGCTGGTGTGCACTTAAAAATGTGCCTGTGATGAACACAGAGCCTGATACTGACCAAGCCAGAGATGTGAAAGAAGTGGCTTCTCAAAGGAAAATGCCAGCTGAAGAGGGGAGAAGGTGGCAGATCTAGCCACTGCTGAGCTGAGCTGACACTCCAAGGGAACCCGGCCTAGTAAGTTCCCAGAGAGTATTGCTAGGGGTGGGGTGGTGGGTAGAATAGAGATGGAATTAAAATACTGAACAATGAGTGACACTTAAGGTAGAGTTAGGGTGGTGACTAAAATGAAAGCAATCTAAGTTCCTTCCAGAGGAGGACAGTGAAAATGCTGATTAGCTTTAGAGTTTTAAGTCAGGTGTTCATGGTATAACGACTGAGAAAGCTACTAAAAATTCAGAAACAGAACATGTAACCTCGAAACCAGAAAAGGAAAGAAAAAAAATACTTCAGTCAACCAAACAGCAGGAACAGAGAGAGGAAACAGCAGCATTAAAAATCCCATCACTTAATAGGCAGAAGTTGTCAGATTGGGTATGAAAACGACCACCTCCTCCTCCTCCACACAAACGTTTACAGACTGGATATAATTGTAGAATGATATTCACCAGAGAGACACCTAAAATGTAAGGTTGAAAAATAAAAGGGCAGCAAAGATACACTGGGGGCTTTGGTTCCTATTAAGGGAGCGAAGCAGCACAGGCTACTGGCTCCCTTCCCCAAAAATCAACCTTAGAAAAACAGTACATTCTAGGGAACAGCGAAAATCTGAGGAACCACCACCAAAACCAGACACAACCCAAACCAACAAGAAATCTCCCCAAATCCTGTACGAACCCCCAGGAGACTGAAGGTCTCCTCAGAAACTGGGAGGGGAGGTAGGACATCAGTGAGACGTCTACTCCTGCTATGCCTGCGACAAAAGTGGGACACGCAGGGCAGCCCCGGAACTGCTGGGTGAAAACGGGTGGGCTAGGCAGCTTCTCTTGGGATTGAAACCTTTTAGCCTCTGAAGCCCCAGGGCTGGCAGATGACAATCAGGAATTGCTGCTTCTTCCTAAACCTCTGAAAGTAAATCTGAGAGCAGCTGCTGGTGGAGTAGCTGACGATGACTGTGAAGTACCTGGAGGTTATTACCTTCCCCTGCTTGAGCTCATTGGAAAGGAGAGCACATGGCCTTGCCCTTTCACCAGTAAATACTACTGGACAGAGGAGCTGGTGCTCTGAAGGAACATGAGCTCACAGGCCAAAATAACCAGAGTGTAATTCCCGGCCCCCAAAGTCAGCAAACTAAACTTATACTCTAACCAAGAATTAAAAATAAAGCAAAATAAATATACGGGAGATAATAGCAGTGTGAAGCAGGAACAAGAACTGAGTGGAAATAGTAAGTATGAAAAATAAAATGAATGAAATAGAGGGACAGATAGAAGTCAAAACCAATTGACTGGAGCGTCATCCTGAGGGCCTTTACGTAAAGGATGCAGGAAAAGGGCCAGAAGAAACGGAGACGCACACATAGCGGCCCCGGGGGGAGCAGGAGCCAGCACCTGAGTAAGTGGGAGTTCTAGAAGAAAACAGAGACAAGTAAGGAGAAAATAATCTGAAGAAATAAACTAGATTGACCAGAATTAAATAGATGAAAGAACTCATGGATGAGTAAGGAAAACATACAACCAGAAACATTGCAGTAAGAGATTTAAGGCCATCTAAGAAAATCAAAAATTCTGAAAGCTCCCAGAGAGAAATAGCAGGAAAAGAACTTTGAACTCAAAATTTGTATCAAGACAAACTCATTTAAACATGAAAGTATAATTAAAAATTCTCAGGGGTACAAGGTTTCAGATTTTTTTCCACAAAAGACTCAAGATATTTTTAGAAGAAGTGATCAAATATGAAAAATAAATTTAGACATGGGATGAGATAGAGGAAGTAAGGGTGGGCAAATAAATACTTTAGCAAAATTTGTACAGGTGGTCCTGAAGGTTAACAATGGTTTAACTTGACACAGATTCAGCAGAAACCATGCATCAAATTTTGATTTTTAATATTTTCCTGAGCTAGCAATATGTAGAGGGGTACTCTCTTGGATGCTGGGCGTGGCAGTGAGCTACAGCTCCCAGTCAGGCACACAAGCACAAGGTACAGAACAGGATGTTTACAACTATTCTTTTTAGGCAGGCTAATTTAAATGTTCTAGGCAACTTTATGGTAGGCTAGGCAAAGCTATGATGTTGAGGTTAGATGTATTAAATGCATTTTTTTTACTTATGATAGGTTTATTGGGACATAACCCCATTGTAAGTTGAGGAAGGTCTGTAGTCTGAAACAGCTAGGAGGGAAGGCAAGGAAGAGGGAAGCAGAAAGGGGGAAGGGGAAGAAGGGAAGGAAAGGAAAACAAAGTATATTAATAATCCAGAGCCAAAATTCTAAAAAATACCAACATGGTAGTGTTGTGAAGACCCAAATCTTACTAGGAAGAAGATTTAGATGATAAAGAAACCAATAGGGGTAAATAAGCATGATTAGTATTGAGTAACATCAATAAAAATGAAAGTAACGTTAAGACAGGACACCATAAATCTAGAAAAAAACATAGGTAAAACATTCTCTGACAAATTGTAGCAATCTTTTCCTAGGTCAGTCTCCCAAGGCAATAGAAATAAAAGCAAAAATAAACAAATGGGACCTAATTAAACTTACAAGCTTTTGCACAGCAAAGGAAACCAACCATAAGCAAAATGAAGACAATATATGCACTGGGAGAAAATATATGCAAATGATGCTACTGACAAGGGCTTAATTTCCAAGATGTACAAACAGCTCATACAACTCAATTAACAAAAAATCAGCCCAAACAAAAATGGGCAGAAGACCTAAACAGACATCTCCCCAGTGAAGATGTACAGATGGCTAATAGGCACATGAAAAGATGCTCAACATCGCTTATTACCAGAGAAATGCAAATAAAAACTACAATGAAGTATCAACTTCACACCGGTCAGAATGGCCATTATTAAAAAATCCACAAATGATAAATGCTAGAGAGCGTGTGGAGAAAAGGGAACCCTCCTACACTGCTGGTGGGAATGTAGTTTGGTGCAGCCATTATGGAAAACAGTATGGAGATTCCTTAAAAAGCTAAAAATAGACTTACCACATATGATCCAGCAATCCTACTCCTGGGCACATATCTGGAAGGAACTCTAATTCGAAAAGATACATGCACCCCAGTGTTCACTGCAGCACTATATACAACAGCCAAAACATGGAAACAACTTAAACAGATGACTGGAAAAAGAAGCTGTGGTATATTTATACAGTGGACTACTACTCAGTGATAAAAAAATGCTATTTGGAGCAACATGGATGGACCTGGAGATTGTCATTCTAAGTGAAGTAAGCCAGAAAGAGAAAGAAAAATACCATATGGTATCATATGTGGAATGTAAAAAAATTAAAGAAAAAGAGAACACCAATGAACTCATCT